TTCTTACTTGGGCTGGCGTGTGGCACCGCTATCAGTTCCGTATGCATATCCATAAGTGTGTCAACCCCTGCTCCAAAGGGTGCGACCTTCCTTCAAGACAAGCAGGGGGATCACTAGGTGGTCTTCTCGTGAAATGAACAAGACAAGGAAAAGAAAGAAAACTGGAGACTCAGTCCCTTCAAACAAACCCTTTGAGCAGCCTCCAGAACTGAAGATTTTGTGGAAAGATTTTGACGTGACCATTCTTCCAAGTTGCTTGGTTGTCGCAAGAAATGAAAGCCATCTTTTGACCGCTGATGTTTCAGCATGCGTCATTCCTGTGTCGATGCTTGGCCTGCTAGAGTCAAGCATAATGGGACGAATCAATGGAGAAATCCTACTGTCTGACAGCTTGTCCTATGCCATGAAGTCTGCATATCAGAAGATGATTTGGATGATGAACAAGCACACGCTGATGGGGGCTAACCGCATGGCACACGCCTCGAAAGCATTGTTCGCTTCTTGTGCTGCAACAATGTTTGAGGAGCAATCACAGAACCCAGACAAAGCTCTCCTCTCAGAATGGAACCTAAAGTATGGGGCAGAGGTGAGAGAAGAGGCCATAAACAGGTGCAAGATCCAAGGCTCCTCCAGTTTTGTAGAGGAGTTCGAAAGCATCTGCAAGGAGAAGGGTCTCAACAATTGCCAGGTCCTAGACTTGGTGGGAATCACGACCAGGCATCTCGCTGCTAACCTGGTCTAACAAAGCTAGGCAGCGAGATGGGAAGCACTGAGAGACGTCTCGGTGTGTACCTGCTGAGTTCTCCACAAGCTGTCACCCCTACTTTTCCACTGTTTGATTCATGCTTCTTCATGCAGCTGCGCCGCTTCTGCAGACACGCGAAACCACTTTTGTTCAAACACCTTCAACTCCTCGGACTCTTCACCTTTCGGTTCTACCACCTTCCTTCGACCTGGGAATTGAGTCAACAGCAAACCAATGTCAGAGTGTGAGCCGCTCAGTCGTCCCACTTGGGTGCTGGGTGTGATCCCCTTCACTGGGGCGCTGAAGCCATGCGGGAAATCATTGTCTCCATTTTCATAACTGTTTTCACTTTCTCCACTTCTATAATTGAATTAACTGATCCAACAGCCGTCGGGCTTAAAAACGAATTTGGCAGCCGCCGGGCTTAAAAACGGCATTCACCCCACTTGAGGCAGGTCTCCCGACCCCCCCCCCACTGTGTTCTACCCCCTACCTAACTAGGGTAACATAGGGAAACGGTACTCGACACACTTGTGTGTCGGTGCCTTTCCCTCTGTTGTCCCTTTTCTAGTCTACTCTACCCGGGCGGTGCAAGACAAAAGTCCCGCTCCCTAACTAGTGCACCTAATTCGCTTCGTCTAAGTATTCAGTAATTCTAGAGTGCTAGGTATTCAGACACACACACGTACACACACATGGACATACACCCCCTCCCTGCCCCCCCTTTTCCTTCTTGCGCTTTTCGTCGTTTGTTGGGCTTTCTCTCAGGCTTTTTAGGTGGCTCTTGAGGCTCGTTTCCCTACCCCAGTCAAGGGCTAAGTATTCATTTTTTCTTTTTTCTACACCTATCTTTCTCTCTTGCCCTCTTAGCGCTGCTCTTTCTGTCTTTCTTTCCTTTGTTTCTAAGGCTTTTTAGGTATCTATTCAGGTTTCTCACGCGAGCGCCGCCAAGCGGCACCGTGTGTGTGTCAACCCCTGTTCCAAAGGGTGCGACCTTCCTTCAAGACAAGCAGGGGGATCACTAGGTGGTCTTCTCATGAAATGAACAAGACAAGGAAAAGAAAGAAAACTGGAGACTCAGTCCCTTCAAACAAACCTTTTGAGCAGCCTCCAGAACTGAAGATTTTGTGGAAAGATTTTGACGTGACGATTCTTCCAAGTTGCTTGGTTTTCGCAAGAAATGAAAGCCATCTTTTGACCACTGATGCTTCAGCATGCGTCATTCCTGTGTCGATGCTTGGCCTGCTAGAGTCAAGCATAATGGGACGAATCAATGGAGAAATCCTACTGTCTGACAGCTTGTCCTATGCCATGAAGTCTGCATATCAGAAGATGATTTGGATGATGAAAAAGTACACGCTGATGGGGGCTAACCGCATGGCACACGCCTCGAAAGCATTGTTCGCTTCTTGTGCTGCAACAATGTTTGAGGAGCAATCACAGAACCCAGACAAAGCTCTCCTCTCAGAATGGAACCTAAAGTATGGGGCAGAGGTGAGAGAAGAGGCCATAAACAGGTGCAAGATCCAAGGCTCCTCCAGTTTTGTAGAGGAGTTCGAAAGCATCTGCAAGGAGAAGGGTCTCAACAATTGCCAGGTCCTAGACTTGGTGGGAATCACGACCAGGCATCTCGCTGCTAACCTGGTCTAACAAAGCTAGGCAGCGAGATGGGAAGCACTGAGAGACGTCTCGGGTGTACCTGCTGAGTTCTCCACAAGCTGTCACCCTACCTTTCCATGCTTCTTCATGCAGCTGTGCCGCTCGTTTTGCCACCGCTGAGTTCTGCAGACACGCGAAACCACTTTTGTTCAAACACCTTCAACTCCTCGGACTCTTCACCTTTCGGTTCTACCACCTTCCTTTGACCTGGGAATTGAGTTAACAGCAAACCAATGTCAGAGTGTGTGTGTGGTGTGTACGTGTGTGTGGTGTGTGTTTATGTTTTTTTTTCGAGGGTGTGTGCATGTGTGTGCTACTGATCTTGGATCTTTGTTGCGTTGGATGTGTATGACGATTGGCCTGCGGGTCACAGGTAGCAAGGGGCCAAAAACTTGCTACATAGAGCAGACACCAGCAGTGAGCTTTCCTGTAACAAACTGCAATTCGGAGATCTTCCAAGAACTTGACATTCAAACAGCGTGCCATTGAATTTACCCTCCCTGCAACAAACGTGCAAGTGCACAATCCCCTGATAGGGATTCGGATTTCAGTGTGTTTCGGGGGTCTATCCTATCCCATCCACATTAGCATGATTCTTGAAGGGACGGTACCTGAAAACCATTGAGAACCACCTTCTTTTGCGCAGGAAGTTTGTCTTCCATGCAGGTCCAGGCCATCAGCTTCGAATCTTCGGTGTGTCCTCACCTAACCTCGCACCATGTCCCTCTTCGCATCCAACGACCGACTCGACCACGGGGAAACACACCTCGGCGAACGCGAAACGGCGCTCCCCAGGCGTCCCGTCGATTCCCTGGAGCGGCGACGGCCTCACGGCCCAGCTGACGGCGGAGGGGACCATCCCGGACGAGACCTTCAGGTGGAAACCGACGGGTGAAACAGGTGAAAACAACAACAACAACAACAGGTTTCAACTCTTGAGTTGCTTAGCACACAATGTCGTGTGTATTGAGTTTTATTGTGTGTCTCAGACCCTGAGAACGAGCACCTGACATCACCTGACCAGCTTCCATTTGCCTTCGTTGCAGCACCGCTTTTGGCACCCTATCCCCGGCTGAGTGTCCCTGCGCCATTGGCTCCATCTGAGTCTTTTTGTGTATATTAAACATCTATACCTGGATTGTCCAACTCTGCGCAGTTTTGATGCCAACCTTGGCTGGTCTTGATGGATGAAAGGGCAGGTCTATGTTCCGCAGTTGGAAGGTCCATGTTGCAGTGTAAAATCTCAGCAACACCACGGTTCTTTGGTAACGACCTTTATGAATCAATGGTTGCAATCCTAGCAGGTATATGTACAGAACCGTCGTTGGTGGGAAAGCTCCTATTCCTGCCGGAAGGGTGTGAATCCAGATAGGCTGTCTCTTTGAACCCGGCAGTTTCGCCCCAGCGGCTTGGTCCCGAGATCGTCGGTGGTCTGAAGACTGAAGAGTGACAGGTATCCACTGGTTCTGTATACACAGGAACGATGTTAAGATAAGTGCGGAAACGTTTGAAGACATATACTAATACACTTAAATACACTCAATTCTTTTTGTGCAAACTACTTCAACCATTTTCGCACATGGTGGATCTCAAAGAAAATCTCAAACGTGGCCCTCCCGAAAGATGTCTCTCCAGAGGAAGGCGTGTCTCAACAGCGTGGCCGACGCCGTGCGCTGTGCCGAGCGGATCGGCTACCCGGTGATGCTCAAAGCCTCAGAAGGCGCGGTCAGAGGTACTGGTCTGGGACCCTTGGGACTCGGGGCGTAGGCATCAAACAATAAAGTATTTAACATTATATATTGATTCAAACAAACATATGTTTGAATCGAGTCAAAAAATATGTTGCGCGGTTAAATCTCTGTGATTTCCCAGTGGTGTAGGTGGTCCTTGGGTCATTTGGTCCGCTGGTCCTCTGGTCCGCTTGGCCAACCCCATCGGCCACAATGGCCGTCATGACTTTATCCACCAACCTTCCAGCCAGCTTGCTGCAACAAGGAAGGAAGGAAGAAAATAACCAAAGATTCCGCCAATCCCCTCCAGCCTATTGAAGGGAAGGGCAGGAAAAGGAAAGGAAAGGAAGGAAAAATGGATTTAGAACGAGAGTCAACGTTAGTGCTTACACAAACAATTCCTAGTACTCGTACTAAATACTACTACTGCTACTACCACTACTACTACTACCACCACCACCACTACTACAACTGCTACTACTACTACTACCACTACTGCGACTGCTACTACTACTACTACTACTACTACTACTACTACTACTACTACTACTAGTACTACTATATACTTATTTTCATTTTGTTGGCTGCGTGTGGATATGTTTTAAAGTACGTCAACTACTTTTATGATCTCTCACCTCTCTCAAGGGTGTCTTAGAATGGCCTTTGGGACACCTTGGAGCCACTGGAGGTTGGGTGTCTATGAGTCTATGAGTGTATATGAAGCACCTGCTAGGGGGCCCAGCTACTTTCTATATAAATATAGTGAGTGGTTGAAAAGGGCTTCGGGGTCAATATAGGCATGTTTGAGTACTTTTGTAGACATGTGGAGTGTTTGGGAGATGATGGGGCTTGCTACAACCAGTGTTTGGAAACAACAGTTCGAACAGGTGGCGTCGGTTTTCAAACCAATTGAAGGTTGAAGAGGCGAAACAGGAACCAGTAGGGTGATTTTTGGACCCACCTGACCGTGTAATTTCCATTCACAAACCTGGAGTAGACCTGTTTCGATTTTGTTGTTGTTGTTGTTTCTGTTGTAGTAGTAGTTGTAGTAGTAGTAGTAGTAGTTGTTGTTGTTGTTGTTGTTGTTGTTGTTGTTGTTGTTGTTGTTGTTGTTGTTGTATGTATAGCCGCAGTAGTAGCTGCAACAGTCGCAGTAGCAGTAGTGCGGTCGCCGTCGGCGGCGGCGTACTGGTACTACTGGTGCTGGTAGCTGTTGTTGGTTGTTTGGTTGTTGGACCTTGTTATGTTACTACTATATTGTCCAGAAGCTTAGACCCGACGTCAAAAGGTGGACACTTTAGCTCTCCATTTGGAGAGAGACTCAGGGATACGCCGCGTTCTGGGACGGTGGACGGTGTCCTTCGCGTCGCGCTCCGCGGTCCTTCCGGGTCAGGCGGTGGAGGCAAGGGCATCCGAATGTCCAACAGCAAAGAGGAACTGGAACAGAATTTTGTTCAAGTCCAGCACCTTAGAAGCACTGGGTTGCGTGTTTTGGTTGCGCGAAAAAACCACCAATGGGTGCGTGAAGGCGACCCACTCCGCAACTGTCCACCGCGAAGGCGGATGCGACAAACATGTGGTATTTGTTTATAGTACCAAAGGCCACTTCCAGGACCTAAGGCGGCATCAGCACCCATATCGATCAATCCATGTATCAGGAGGTGAGGGACACCCTCTTAGGAAATCACCAGCTCTAGGTGCTTGGGACATTGGACAATTAAACGCATTGAGAGGGAACAGACTGGAAGAGCCAGGCTTGTCATTTAGTTCGCTTCATGCAGATGCAGGGATTTCGCATGGACTCAACTCGGTGGGTTTGCCACTGTTCATGTTTTATGACTGGCAGGAATGGTCCTTTTTGTATGGTGGCCTTTGTTTGGCATCAACCCTTTCATCCTATCAATTCCGGAACCGGGATGTTGTCGTCGATGTCCTTCACGTCGATTTCCGGCGAGCTGGATCCAATGAAACTTTGGAATGGGGATCTCTCGATCCATTGGACACCCATTCGATGGTCCAAACAAAATTATACCAGCAGTCACAAGACGGGGTGGTGTTTGGTCCCTAAGTGAGTGGATGGATAATGGGCACTCCGAACCTCCATGGATCGCACCCCTTTGTGACTGCTGGTATAGAATATTATGATGGAATGATCGTTCCCATCAGTGAGAAGTGAGAACTCATTCGATGAGTTAACCACCTCTTTGTACAGCTCCACTGAGGTCAGAGGTGCCGGGATCTCCAATCTTCATGATGCAATTATGTGCCTGGAGAAAAGGACAAAAATGACACCACCCTGACCAATAAGGCTAAGGATCTATGAGGCTGATAAGGATGCGAGAAGCTGGACATTTGGATTGAACACCATGCGATCTACATTCGACCTCTATCCCAGGAAGTGCAGTTTTGAAATGCATCTCTCTTGATTGGCGATCCAGTTCTATCATGTTCTTCTGTATATCCACCGCCAGAGATTTGGGATGGACCTACTGTGCCACTCAGAAATACCATGTCATGTGACTGCGGGCTCTTGTTCCCCTGTGGCTTCATTGAGGGCTAGATCAACAGGTGTTGACCTTGTTGACTGTTGCTACGCTTGCTGTGTGCCTCGTGCGCACGAAAGCCTTTGGGAACGCAGTGGATCGTTGCATGTCCTTGAATGGCCTTTGATCATCGAATCTACAGTGCAGTCCGAGTCCAGGTCCCTTAAGGACTCAAGACACACATAGAGTCATAGAGGTGTCACCATGTAGATTTGAGGGGAGACAGGAGGTCCAGCAGGTAGTCAGTTGGTGTTTTTTCCCCAAACAGTTTACTGTCTACGGGGTTCTCAATTCTTTCTGAAGATGTCTACGGGGTCTACGGTGTTTTGGGCGAGCTCAACGCTCCAGGCCTCCCTCCATTGGGTCTCGGGGTGGTCGACGTCTTCGACGCGGTCATGAACGACGCGGACGACCGTCCGCACCGGTGCAGGTACAGGTGCACGGCACATTGAGGTGCAGATCATGGGCCACTCGCACCTGGTTGGCGCAGAGGGCGCAGCTGGCGCAGAAAGTGCGGGGCCGTGAGGTCATTGGTCAGTGTGGTCTCCCTCGAAAAATACACAGGTGCGGCCATTTCGAGGTAACACCTCGAGATGCAGATCTTTGACACTTCTGAAAATCCTTTGAATTTGCTTGGTGTTTTTAAAAGCTGTTTCAGCGGCGCCAGTGCTCACTCCTTGCAACGCGCGAGTCAGACAGACCGACACCGGTCGATCGGACCGGTGTCCGGACCGGTGGGGTGGACCAAACCGGACCGGACTGGACTGGCAAGGAAGCTCCTGCAGGAAAGGGGGTGACGCATGGAAACTCTTGAAGACCAAACATGCCAAACAGGATCCAGGGCTTGGCAGTTTGCAACAACCACCCATCCGAACAAGTTCGAGCATTTGCTGACTTTCGCTGAACTTGGACCAGGGACTGGAAGTTCTGGGTCCAAGTGCCGCCGAAAAAGTCCTGACAACTGATCAGACGACCAATGGCTGGTGGACTGATGTACTTTCAGCATTTCAGAACCACCTCTTCTGTCAGAACCACTACCGGTTCAGATTGGGAATCTTCCACATGGTGCCCCAAAAACACATTGGATCTCATTTTCTCCAGTGGGTGCCACCCAACTCAGCCGTCTCCCACCCGACCGGTCGGGCGAGCAACGCGCCGTGGTTCACCGCCCAAGGCGAGCACCCCGCACGCCACCGGCACGCGGTCGGCGCGGTTATTCGGCGGTCCGAGGTGATCAGCACGGGCAAGTCGTGGCGCTAAACGGCCGCGACTGCTCCACCCAGCGGCGCTTCCAGAAGATCTTCGAGGAAGGGCCACCCGTGATCGTTGCTGTGCAGCAGTTGTTGGGCAGGCGATAGATTATACATTGGGAGACACTTCCGGTCTGTAAGGTCTGTGTGATACATTGTGATATATTGTGATACTCACATGTCCATGCAAAAGGGAAGATTCGAGGCCCTTCGAACAGCATGTTGCTACCCAGGAAGTACGTGGATCAGCTGCAAAAAACAACGGGGTGAGGCAAACCCTCCGACGTACTCCGACGAAAACGAACCATGGAAGCGGATGATTTGGCTTCGAAGACCAGCTTAACTTGAAACAATTTGGCTCTGAAAAGGGGGGGCCAAGCTATTATACGGGGTGTCTAATAATAGCCCCTTATGGGTTTTTTGGGAGGTCCATTCGCCATCCCTTTATGACTGGTAGGGTGCATCTGTTTCTCCATTCGCTGAGGTTCCAAAGGCAACCTTCAAGGAGCGCCGTGTACGGAGGGTTTCCACTCACCTGGAGGGGCTAAAATAGATCTAAAAGCAAAATGGTAAGAGGTGATGATAATTCATGTAATTGCCAGTCTCGTCCTAATCTCACAGAAGCCATGGTTAGCTTTCAGATACTCTATATTGAAGTTCAATGAAGTTGCATACCGGATTCAGTCCGGATCCTGTAGGGATCCTATAAGAGGTACATGTGGATAGTCTCATGTGTTTCCGGCTTGTGAGTTCAGGGAACGCTTGGCTAAAGTTCACCCTGCAGGCAAGCAGTGCCACGTGCTTGGCGGAGCCCACGTGAGAGAGACCGCCCCTACAACTCTTGAAAAGAACACCATCCTTCTTTCCTTCGATGCCCAGTCTGGTCCAGTTTGCCTAAGGTCCAAGGCTGAAAAGCTCATTGCATGAGTCATTGGTGTGTTAATGTGTCACAAGATCACCTTATCAACTCCAGTCCTTTCGAACCGACCCTGTTGTTTTCCGGTGTCTTTTGCTTTGTCTTTCGGTCGACCTGCGCAGGTCTTTCTGTTGCTTTGGGTTGACATCACCCACCAGTGAACCTTCCACTCCAAGAGCCTGGCCGCCGAGCTCGCCGAGCTCGCCGAGCCGGGTCATGCGGCCATCCGCTCCACCCAGACGGAAGGAACGAGCCCTGAGGACGTCCTGAAACCCACCACCCGTGGCCAGTCCTCTCGGTGAGGTCATGGGAAACCGTTATGGGTTGACCTGGTGTTGTAGTCTAAAACCTTGGGAAAACAATTGAATTGTCCGGATTCGAAGCATTATCTAGTTCAATTCTTTGGGCCAGGCAGGCGCCGCTCGTTTCGCCACGGCAGGAGATGGAGCGCGCGGCGCAGCGCTTGACGCAGTCCATTGGCTATGTGGGCGCCTGGTCGTAACGTTCGTGGTCAGTCTTCCGGCACAAAAAAGACTTCAAACAAGAACGGAAGTCTCCAGCAGTCACAAAGGGGTGCCGAACTTGGAGGATAGGGGTGCCCATTATCCACTCACTTCAGGACCAAACAACACCCCTTTTGTGACTCCTGGCTCATGCGTTTATGCCAAGTATCTTTGAGACCCTCTACTTTCCGTCAAGGTGGAGTAGATGCACCCCGACTTGTTGCCTCGCTTGCCAAGCGCCTGCTTTGCCCGCACCCTGTGAGGTGCCGGCACCGTGGAGTATTTGTACAACGCGAAAACCAACAAGTTCCTGGTCAGTCCAATCCCACGACTCGCCCGTCGGAACCGAAGACCAAACGAGACCCGTCGCCCGTGGAGGGTTCGGTCGTGCCAAGACGGCACGGTCGCACGTGGAAACAGCAGCCGCCGGATTCCGGTGACGAGAGGGGGAAGTGGGGATTTCGCTCGGCCAGCCGAGACGAACGACGGAGGGACTGGACGGAAGATCACGACCACAGATCCATGCATGAAGACCCCAGAAATGATTGGAGCCGAAGATCACGAGCGGAAGCAGACATTTCTGGGTCGCTCCAACTCTCTATTCACAGAGCCACCCCGCCAGGTCTACCGACCCCCAAAGAGTTTCGCTCCAAAGGTTCGTCGTGGCGGTTTCTCCGATGGCAGCGGAGGTTTTACTTCTTGGAGCTCAATCCACGACTGCAGGTGGAGCATCCGGTGACGGAAGCCATCACCAACGTGCGCCTTGGCTTCGCGGTTGGTGAGGGAGAGATGGGGAAGCTGCAGTTGCAAAAGATGGTTTGTGTGCCAGAATGATAGGTTGTTTTGAAGAATCGACTTTTTGTTTCCCTTTCCCTTAAAGGAATTGGGGGGGTGGGTTGTGGATCAATGACCACATAGGGAAACCAAGTGTACATGTTCTTCCGCCTCGACCTCCTCCCGGGGTCCCAGGTATTGCTCAGGCACTGAAGAATCGACGGCGATGCGTGTTGCACTCTCCGCGCGCAAGCGGTTGGCCTTAACTGCAGCGAAAAACCAGTAAACCTGTACACCTCCAGTTGGGTTCGGGAGGGTTTTGGTTCGATTGGTTTGCGCGCCTCACCCTGTAAAAGCTGCGGCGAATCACCGAGAGGTTAGCTTCCCGCCGCTCAGTGCTCTTGTGATTCGTCCGATCTCGAGCTCGCTCACCGAGAGGAACACTGCTCCTTGCCCAGGAACATGCCAGCAACGCAACTGCAGATCGCGATGGGCATCCCATTGGATCGGATGCCACAGATCCGCGCCTTCTATGGCCTCCCCGAGAAGGACGGAGTCCACACGGGATGGCAACGGATCCTCCAACGCGGTGGAGCCACCGGGTGAGCAGGGGCTGGAGGAAGGTATGGCAGCATTGCAGCACTCCTCATGATGGTGCCAAGTGCCAACATGATCCAGCATGTATGAGGCACCTCAGACAACAAAAGTAGACCACGATTGGTTTGGTTGCCTATGGAACGGCGTGCCGTGGTTGGTTTGTTGCCATAATGCTGGTGGCTTGGTTGCATCAAAAGGAGAGGTGTATATACTTGATTTTGTAGTAATTTTATCATTATTGATCAGTGTTTGTACTGAAAGGGCTAGGGCCATACGATGCGATACGTAAGAATCCCTTTATGACATATAAAGGGAAACTGCAAACCATTACTTCCTAGTGTCGTTACTTCTCCAGAAGAACTGTTAAAATGACTGCATGATTTCTGCTGTTTTCAACAAATCCTCATCTCTAGAATCTCTTACTCCTACAGATCAGCAAAGCACTAGCAGCCTTACGGACCTACGCGGATCTACACGGTAACCTTGGTCTCGACCAGACTTCACGGTCCACCGGACCTACACGAACGTCTCGTCTGCAGGACCGAACGTCGCGCATCGACTTCATGAAGCAGGACTACGTGTATCCCAAGGCCCCCCCCCCATGTGTTTCGAACGAACGAGGGAGCGGCTGTTCGTCCGTCCGCGTGTCCGCACGTTCCGAAGCAGCGAACCCGCGAACTGGGTATATAGTTGGGTGTTTGGGGGGAGGTGGACAGGTCTGTTTCTGTCGGATTCTTGTTGGAAGGAGTGCCAAAACAAACCCAGAAGAGGATCAGACATGTACTTATTAGTAGAGAGTGGTAGTTCATGGTAGTTCACTAAACGTAGCTGCTGGTACGCCAGACCTCCCTGCTGACGGAAGTTTGCAACTACCCCCTCCGTCCTTACGCTTTCCGCCGGAAAACCACCCAAGCACCAAGCGGAGCCGCTGGAGCAGATCAGCGCCAGGTGCATTGCCTGGCCGCGCGGATCACGGCCGAAAACCCCGACGATGGCTTCAAGCCCACGAGTGGGAAGATCGAACGCATCAAGCGCCGAACTCAGGGAAGCCAAAACTGACGGAGTAAGGTAGACTGTAGACTCATTGGTTCAAGAAAAACCATTAAAGCCTCTATTCATTTTTTTCGCACAAATTAAGAGTCTATGACGCAGGTGGATTCCACTTGCATGTTATGAACGCGTCGGGGCTTCAAGAACGGAGCCTGTGGCCGGCCTGATTATGGCCATTCCGAGGTCATCAAATATTCTCCATTGAGTCACAGCTAAACAGCTAGCCAACATCATTGTTGGAGCAATAATTTGTTCACACTTTATAATTAATATACCAATAGGTTACTCGTAGTTGCAAAATTGAACATAATGTTCCAAAAGGTCCTGTTCCAACATGGAAATAGTATTAAATCATGGAATATCTATATATTTAATATACTATATATATATATATATCCCTAGTGCTCCAGAGCAGGTCACTGAAAAAGGTTGCCCTGGTGTTTGGAGGCCTCGGTCACCGCACGTCGCTGGCGCCACATCCGCGACAGCTGCAAATCATCTCAAGTCGCGGGCCACCATGTTGCGAAGTCTTAGTGCGCTTCCTTCGGTGCTGCTGGATCTGTCTGAGAGCATCCGGCATGGATTCGTCCACGTCACGGAGCCAGTCCAGGCAGGTATGTAGCTGACACACCGGTGTTGTGCAAGTGCACCTTTTGAAAGACTTGTATCCAGGAATTCGTTATGAGAGAATGGGTCCAGACCCAAAGTTTGCTGAGGATGGGTTCGGACCCGAGACGCGTGCTGAGAAGGTTCTGGCTCACATCGGGCTGTTTCACGATCATGGAGGGTGTTTGGGGTACACAAAGAGAGGCCACCAGCCGGCCAACCATCTCATGGTCACGCATGTCATCCACTTGGACTCACATGTCGAACCACGTAGGGTCGGGTGCTGGTACAAACCTACACAGTCTCCTCCGCGAACATCCTGCCATGTCCTACCTGACCTCGGATCGATGAGCCATGGGCCTTGGAAGGGATGCTGCATTACGTGGTGCGCCCCGGAAACGTCCGTCGTCTAGCTGAACTTGATGATTAAATCATTCTTTGGAGGACCACTCCGATAAGAGAAACAATCTAGATATCTGGTGTATGTATATATGGCATATAATGTATGGAAGTTCAGGGGGATGAGATGCTTGGAGGTTGTGAGCCCAGTGGATGGCAGGGTGGAGGTGGAGCATCCCTGAGGAGGTTCAAGCTGGTGAGTTATGTTCGTTGAACAAGCGCATCAAACACCAGATTCTTGTTGAGTCGGAGATTGGTCATTGATCAAGTAGGCTGCCGGCTTGGCGATCCAGTCTCACAAAAGGTTGGAAAGGTATTGGTGACCATGAGTTAGTGCAGTGAGGATGGGGAACCTTGTTTTGCAGGAACACCAGCCCGAGGGTGAGGAGCTCATGATTGAGGACCTGGATGATGAACCGTTGTCAGCACCTTGCATGGACTGGGTCATCTCGCAACTGAGATTGCACACCTGCGTCCATCAGCGTGCCCAAACATGCGCCTCTTCATCTTTGCTTCAGGATCTTCCTTCTCCTGGCATGGACATGTTCATGAAGGCCAGTCATGACTGCACTGGGGTCAAGACTTGCAAGTTCGTGCGCTGCGCAGGTCGAAGCTGTAGAGGCCGTCAACGAGTCAACAACAAGCGTGAAGTGGCCATCGAGACGGCCCATGTGCCTATACAATTTATAAATATTCAAAAATACTGAATGTTATTTTTAAATTTGGCCCTTCAAACCCCATCCCAAACACATAGAGATCTAAATCTGGAACTTGGAGCCCTAGGGAGACATGTTTTGCAGGTATGTAGTGTGGCAGCGCTAATCAATGTTTGGAGTTCGGACCAGACCGTTGATCAGCTAAGTCATCGACCACCGGTTTGCTGCCGGGTGGCACGTTCCCATTGTGTATCCCAGACCAGTGGGGTGGAAGAGTCTGGGTATACGATCATGGTACACGCTGCTCCAACTCCTGAAAAGCTGTAAACCACAGGTTTTGTGAACCAACTGCAGTCAGTTGTACTGACACAACTACAAAATCATTATGAAAACCCTGGCCTTACCCAGGTTGTGTGCCAGCAGCAACTTGGAGAACTTTGATGCCGACTGAGCTGCCGTGCCGTGTGACAGTGAAGCACGTCGTTGGCGAGAAAACCACAGCTTCAGCGGGGCAGCTTGAGGGTGGCAGGCAGTACATGGAACATGTGGGTGGTTCAAAGAATACAGTTTTGACGAACACCCCACGTGCGTTAAGTTATAACTCTATCTGAGAGTGGGTTTGGGTCTATGACCTATAAGTTCTGCTCAAGCAGGCCTCGAACCCCAAACACCGTCCAAGACCCTAAGAAGGTATCCAGGAGCCCTAGGGTATATATATATATATATATACAGCCAGGTTCACAGGTCACCCTGCTACTTCTGGGTCTAGAGCATCAAAAGCCCTGTTACACTGCGCAATCTATATATACACATGGATCCGCTGAACCCGGCACTCTTTCAAGACCAATGTCTTCAACGACCTTGCAGGCAGTCTGCTGCCCGCTTCCTCAAAAACGGTCCAGAGAGGGGCGGGTTCTTTTGGGTCCCTTGTTTGGCACGTGAGGTTTCAGAGCTCCGTGGCCTGCTGGGGGTACTTCTCGGCCCCTTGGAGCGGTGTGGTGTGCAAGTGCAGCCGGTGGTGGACATGTGTGTTTAGGGATGTATAGCACGTCTCACCAGGTGTTTTTCATTTTCCAATTATATGAAATATGTGTTCATTGCTTTCAGTTGATTTTTCATGTGGACGGAATGACACACAAAAACAATATTTCACAAAATGTTGAAGCTCCGACTTGGATAAACACGAAAAAATCAAGGCACCGGTCACCGTCACCAGTATATATGATTATATGTGAGGCTAAGTTAACTACCATGTTCCATGCTCCATCCCACCAGACCAGACGTTCTTTGTGTGTGCACCATGGGAGTAGATGACGCAGTGAGACTGTATCGGTCCAAGTCTCTTTTTTTTCGCATTTTCTGCGAGCCTCGAGGTTTGGACACATGCAGCCATCCACGAGTTCGCCGACAGCCAGTTCGGGCATCTCTTCGCGCGGGGCGCCGACCGGGAGGAGGCACGGAAGACCCTGGCGCCTCGGTCGTAGCCGAAGACCCGGACGCGGTGGGAGGAGGTGAGGGGAGGTGGTGAAGTGGTGGTGAATGCCGGTCTCTGTGTTTTTTGGTTGGGAATTGCGTTCAACTCACGACCCAAGAAAGTGATTCAAACAAGATAGCAAACATTTCCCCAGTTTGATTGGTTTGAAGTGCGTACATGTTTGGACATGTATATATCCCTTGAGGGGGAAACCGACACCGACTTGATGTTGGAACTACGTAGAGTAATCTACGCTCACCGCTGCAGGACCAAAGTCGAAGTCTTTAGCCCTAAGGCTTCAGATGCTTCACAGTGGGTGGGGTGATTGGTGGCGACTAGCCAGGGTCCGAACAGGAGTCCATCCGGAGCAATGTTTGTTCTTTAAATGGTCTTCACTTTGGTCGCGCGAAGGGTTGGTTCGACCAGCGATGCCCAAGCGGTCGCCATTCACGTCGGATCCGGCGGCAATGAGGTCCTGGCACTGCAAAACCTGGAGGTGGTGGGTGAGATTCGACCCTTCGGATGGACTTGGGGAGTCCCTGAAGTGGCTCCAAGGACTTCGGAGCTGGGAGCTGCAACAGAAGGATGTTGGATGGATTTGTGGCGGGGGATACGAAAGGGGAAGAGACCAATGCAAGATCGCCTGTCAAACGACCAATGCGACAGTCCCGCAGGACAGCACGGATGGGAAGCGAGGACGCTGGAGAGAGGTTCCGTCTTTTTTGCAGCTCCAAGAGTTGGAGTTCCAAGAGAGGTTAATAGTGACCGTAAATAGGACCTCACTGGGGTACCCAACTGGGATAGTTCTTCAACCTCTGTTGGTTGTTCCCCAATATATATATATATTAAGTTTTTATCATAATAACTTTTCAAGCATGGCCACTCATGGCCCAGGCTGAGCCAGGCGGGTGTGTGTAAAAAGGGAGGTGCCCTGCCCAATGGGTTTGGGCCCTTGACCCCGAACCTTTCCAGGGGTCCAACTGGGAGGTCTACTTCGGTGTGTTCGCTCTCCACCACGTAGCAAGCCCAGCAGCGATAAACTGCGCAGCTCCAGTGGATCAGGGGCGCAACTCCCACATCAAGCGGCGCTTGAGAAAGATCACAGGGCTTATCAGGGCTTTACTGTTCCGGTACGTACTGGTTATAGCTTGTGATTGGTTTGGTGGTCTCACTCCCAGTGGTAGAGGCTGTTTAAACTAATACCACCAGTTGAGGGATCTTGAGGTAGTCCAAAGTCACTCCCACCACAACCACCAGGCGCCGCATATTTTTCGAGAACATCTCTAAGAGCAACGGCATTTGACATGTGTTTCTGTGAGATGGGTCAAAACCACTCAAAAAACATCCACATCCGATATCTCATGGTACTGATGTCACTCTTGGTCCAGGAAGACGGTCACCCATCGGCGGTGCGCCGCTGAAGCGTGCGCGCGTTTGGATGCGCCTTCTCAGGAACCCCCCACGGACTATTTGGTGCAACTCCTGCAAGCAGAGGCGGGAGATCTGGGCAACACATGGCAACACCCAGGTTCGGTGTGATGAAAAGAGAGGATGATAGATGTCTTAGAATCCTGTTGCATCCTGTTGCCACACCCGAAGATTGAGGGCTCATTTGTTCGAATATATTTTGAATAATCCCCTCCATCTACTAAAAAACACGGGCCCCCCCTATTGACAATAACTCGGTCGCATCTTTTTAAATATAGGGGGTCCCTGAAATCGGGGTGTCCGAAATAGGGTCAGTGGGAGGATCCTTGAATCATTGATTAATTGCATATAAAACGCAGAGCTTGAAGTGCAGATTTCGTGGCAGGTGCAGTACTTGGTGGTCTTTGAAGTGCACATTTCGTGGCAGGTGCAGTACTTGGTGGACCTTGAAGTGCAGATTTCGTGGCAGGTGCAGTACTTGGTGGACCTTGAAGTGCAAATTTTGTGGCAGGTGCGGTGCAAATTTCGAGGGACAGCCAGCGGAGAGTCAGCAACACAACATGGTCGATTTTGATGGAGTTTTGGGGGGAACCTTTTTTGTGGGAGTTTTGGGGAACCTAGTTTTAAAAATACATACGTAACAAATCGACCATGTTGGTAGTTTAGTATAGCGGCTTAAAATGGCGGCTACTTAAAAGCAATTATAAGCCGGATTTAGGGTTCGGACTCGGACATTGAGTCTTTTAAGTTAGGGAATGTTTTTAAATAGGTATTCGGGATTAGGGAACTTGAACTTCGCTGGCAGTCAGTTGGTACAACCTTTGTGCGTCGGCAAATGGCATGATGGCCCTCTAGCGTGGCGAAGGAAATTGCAACGGGGACTTGGGAGAGGCTATTGCCAGGCAGACTTGGGAGAGGCTGCGTAGGCCGTAGGTGGTTGAAGAGAGGGCCAAGGATAGACCTGGAGGTAGAGATCGCTACCAGAATTGTTCCCATGAGGCCCCAAGCAAAAAACGTCATGCTCCATGGCCAAGCGTTCTTTTTACGAGGCCTTTCGTGTGAACAGCATCGACACCAGCTGGCTGGATGGGCTGATTCGCGAGCGAGCTGTACGACTGAAGTACGAGCGCCGCCCTCAGTGCATGGATCACCTACCCAACCTTTTCATGGGTTTTTGGACTCCAAACGATTCGGCGGGAATGTTTGGTTCCACCCTAGGGCCCCAGGGCTCCAGTCGTACTTTCTCAGAAGGTGAGACTGGAACCCTTTGGCACGCTGCCCAGTCCCACCGAGGAAGTACTTGGGGCACTAGGATTTATGGACACGGCTCCAGGAGTCAGCGTTTGGCGGGCAGCGTTCATTTTCGGAGCCGATTCCAATTGGTTGCGAAGCGTGATCCGCAGGGTGAGAAGTACAGCTTACACCTTGAGACCAAGAAAAGACCAGCAATTACAGAGGAGAGCGAGAGAGAGAGAGAGAGAGAGAGTGAGAGTGAGAGTGTGAGTGAGTGAGAGTGAGAGAGAGTGAGAGAGAGAGAGTGCGAGAGAGAGTTGGTGCATGGGACACAGACATAGCGGGGAAAAGGCCGAGATTCTGGTTCAATGATCTCAATGATCCGAAAATCATCTGAGATACTTGAAACCTGGGAGACATGCTGACGGAAGTGATCCTCCTGTTCGCACCAGCACCACCCAGTCAAACAGGTCCCCAAACTACCCTTTGGGGTCCTTTGGGTGTTGCTTGTTAATGTTAGGAACAGATAGGAACAGCTCTTTGTTCAAACATGGCGAGGTCCACAACTCCCCACAGGTCCAAGATCGACCCAGGTCAAAACCTGGTCCTTGATCATTATATAAATATCATATAGTTAGTGCTTTTGTATGATGCAGTAAAATGAGGTCTTTGACCTTTAGGGGTGGTTTCCTCATGCTCGACTTTCGATCGAAGGCCTGACACCCGACCCTGAGGCAGACCGACGTGGTCTTCTATGCCGCCGTCCTGCGTGCCTTCCGTGCGTTGCAGGCCGTCTGCCGAAAAAATGACACTGCGCACAAATACATGCTGCTGGGTTTGAGGCGAAACGCCCAAACAAAAAGCACGGGTGAAGATGAAGACTTATACCAGCACCCTCCAAGAGGCCAATGCGGTGTGTGTGTGTTGTTTGTTTTGGAGGGTTGGGCCCTTAAAAAGGTCGAAGCAGGGTGACCTTCGGTACGGTGTTAGTCAGGTGGCCAGGTGAAGAGCTAGGCAGGCTAGGGTTGAAGGCGTTGAAGGGCTGGACACTCGTCATGTTGTTTGAGAGTTGGCATTCAAGTGAGCGTTCTGGCGTTCTGGTGTTTGGAGGTTTCAGGTCTGTAGCTCGAACGACGAAACTGGGAGCTGCAGAACAAAATGGGGGGGTCAAGTACCACCGCTGTGCCAAAACCTTTTGGGGGGTCAAGTAGATTCTTTGGGCCAAGGAAAAGAAGTGTGAATATTGAATGAATCATGTGATGTGTGAATTCATGATCTCTAAAAAACCTTGGTTCATGAACTGGTCTTTGTAACGACTCCAGTCACTGTTTTCCATGACCCTCCAGTCTAGCCATGTCTAGCCACCCTCGATGCCGAGACCCGGGACCGAGCCGCGGAGTCTGAATGCTTCGGTGTTTCCATCTCCATTGTGCATTGAATGTAGACTCTTGAGTCATCCAACCTCCCCGACCTTTGGATTGCAGAAGCTCTTCATATGCGGGGTCAGGAGTCCTTGTTCAACCGTCTACTTGAAAACTTCGACCTCCACGTTCGAAGACGTGCAGGCCAAGGATGCGGAGCTGGTGAAGTCCATCGAGAAGCGCCGCTTGGGGCTCTTGCATCAGGCGATTCGAACGTCCGCAGCGTTCGGCGTTTTCGATGCAGGTCGGAGGAGAGTGTTTCTGAAGACGCGGTATTCTATGCGTTCGGCGTTTCTATATGCTGGAGGAGAGTGTTCTGGACATAGCGATCGGTGCGGTCAAGTGAAACCGCTGCGTTGTTGTTTTTCTTGTTTGCTTGGTGTACAGAAGTGTAGATTGACTGGAATTTATGGACGGAACAGGGAAAGGCTATATTACATTATATATATATAATATAGAAGGTTTGCTTGTGTTAAGCTTCCAGGAAGAGCTATAGCTCAGCTAGTGCTGAGGCCTAATATGGTCCTCAGACTCAGACCGATAGAAATCCACTCCAATAAAGAAGTGAAATTACCAACTCTGAATAGCTTCAGCAGGTGAAACAAGAGGTGCATGAATGATAAGAGTGGTTGAATCAGTGACAAAAGGTCCCACTGATTCTGCTTCCACATCCTGCGCAATCACCATCACCATCATCCTCTATCCTCATCATTATCCTCATGATCAGCATCAACATCAACATCAATCTTGACTCATCCCAGCAAAAAGCGGGTGAGGGTTGAAGGGTTCCACCTGAAAAACCTTTGAAATGATTCTTCCTATCACAGAAACCATGTCGTATGTGTACTCACAGCGACCATGTTCGGCCAGCACAACAGGTATGATCCGGGTGAACGGTCCTGGGTGACCTCTTTGCAATTGACCTGGGACATCCTGGGAGCAACAGAGGTGGGTCAGAGCCCTGGTTCGACTGGTGACGGTCCTAGTTCCGGTCAGTTGGATAGCTCTGCTATGGGAGGTCAAGGGCTCCTGTTCCATGAACCTGGAGATCACCTTCGAGGGCCTCCGCTATCACTTTGACGTCACCCGCGCCTCGGTCAGAGCCGGCCAGAAGCAACAGAGGCGCCTGGTTGCTACACCCGTTTTTTGGGCCCCCCGTTTGTTTTTTGGAGGCTGCCTGGTTGCTATCCTAGACCAGACACCATGACCCGTAGCCCAGTCGAGGAGGCCAATCCCTCTTAGCCTCTTAGTCCATGTGGACTAGGCATGGATAGGCGATAGGTGCCATAGGGTTCTTCAAACCTGTCCCTCCACATCCCCATCCACTCCAAATCTCGGATCAGATTTTGGGAATTTTTGGACACCTTGACACCTTGACCTGACGATGAGGATCCCATCCCGACATCTATGCGAAGCGCTTTCCCAGGGGTTGCACCGGATGCCTTCCTCTTCAAGATTTCGGGCGGACCAGTGATCGCTGCGCAGGCGGTCCGGTCCGCTCCGTTGGACGGTATGGACGGGGGGCACCGTCGAATTCCCCGGCGGTTTGTATGGACGTTCTTTTTTCGGGGCGCCGTGACGGCAACAATGGAACCATCGCAGAAACTGTTGGGGATGAGTTGATTGGAGCAGTTCTTTCTATACTACTAATAGGTTGGAGGCCTTCGCTAGTAGGTTGGAGGACGTCGAGTTCCAAAGGGGTTTGTGCTTGGTGCCATCCAGTGAGTGGATAGTGGGCACCCCTACCCTGCAAGAGGCATCCCTTTGAAACTTCTGGTTCACCTTTGTTCTGGACACGTGCCAAGAAACCATAAGAAACCATCATCCCTTGGTCTCCTTTGTTCTCCGTGAAACCCTCTTCAAGACCCAGAGAAATTCCATGGGACTGACATTTTTACCTACGTCAATGAGGTATTTCTTTCAGGGGTGACAGTGGTGGTCAAATTCTCTCCCCATGAAAACAGAGCTTGAAGAACCCGACTGCTCGTCTCTCCCAGTTGGGTAGGTTACGGTCCTCACAGTCATTGGATACTTCTCTCCCCATGGAGTCGTGACACGGGACCAAACGGAACCAAACCGACGGATCGGTCACCGCGTCAGTTAACGCGACCTCCTCGCCAGGTGCGGGAGCAGCCCGATGGATCGCTCCTTGTCTCGATCGACGCTTGGCGTTGGACGATGGCTCTTCTGGCGGAGCGGGGGGGGCGGAGCGGCGGCGGATGGGCGCGGAGCGCGGGGCGGCTCGGGCGGAGTGGATGAAACGTTGAAAACAAAGCAGCCCCCAGTGATAAACAAACATTGATCATTAACCCCCCCAAAAAAAATAGACAAAACACGTCACCATCTTCCGCAACATCCAGAGAGGGATCGAACTTATCCGCATTCCAAAGGCATGGTGATAAAAACTCGGAACGTTATGCGTAAGGTCATGGGGGTCACGGGTTGACATCGAGGTTCCATCCATCAATATATGTATAATATATATATATATGTCAATCGGATTCAATCAGTATGTCACCCATCAGGTTGGCCAGAAAAAAAAAGAGACAGTTTCCTTCACTGCGCCTCAACGCAACGCGGGGAGCACCTTAAGAAGCGCCTGGGGCGCGGATCTTGGAGTCCTCCAAACAACCGGAGTTTTTGCGGATGCACCAGCGGAAGAGGCGGAAGAGTAGCATACGGGCCAGGTTGACTCGGTGATGTACCCTCTCAAACACTCCGTGATACTCTGCGTGTGGAGTTGCAGACATTTACTCTTCCTCGGACTAACCTAGAAGTGGCAATAAACATAGAGGACCCTTGTTTTCCAAGGGGCCATTTCCACTTCCATGTTAGTTCCAGCGAGTGTACCCCATTTAATTTGGTCTGAGCCTGGTCATCTTCACATCTCCTTAGTGGCTCTCTCCGTTTTTTCTTGGTATTCTCAGGCCTTGTTCTCCCAGACTGTCACTACAACAGTACTCTCTGTCACACCAACCAGCATGTCTCAGACACCTCCTCCGGGTTATTCTTCGCGCCGTGACCATCGCCGGAGACCAGTGCCATTGGAGGCTGGTGGTGGCGTCAAGACTGGCATCAGCCAGTCTTTCCCACCATTTTCTCTATCCCAGACACTCCATGTATGCCACATATGCCTACATTGACCCCCCAAACCACCCCAATGTAGGCATATATGGCATACATGGAGTGTCTGGGTATAGGATGTGATAGGATTCGACTTTCCGTTTCTTTGGACCCTTGGCCGTAAAGATTCACCTCCGATGTCTTTCGTCTTCCGCCTCCCCAAACGGCCGGCTGCCTCGCTGTTCGCGGGCCGCGCCGAGGACGGCAGCGTGCGGAAGATCTCGGGCACCGAGGAAGCATTGGGACTGCGCCTGCGCTTGCAAGGCGTGGGCACCGTGCCGAGCTCAGGGATGCCATAAGGTTCGAGAAGCGTCGAAGCTTAAGCTAGACCGGGAAAGGGGTGATCTGGGGGGGTGAAACGCTGTTTTTGTGAGCGGAATGGAGATTGACTTCCATTAAGCCACTGCTGAGGCGCCGGTTGTGACGCTGTGAAACTAGAGGTCCTTTCATGGTCGGACTCTGAGGTGTTTGCCGCCAAGACCTAAGCCATGCTTGGAGACAGCTCAAAACCAGCTCTATATAGAGATTGAGCATCCGTTGAGCCATGCTTCCGTGTTCTGGGGAAGTCATAGGGCCGTCAATGACGCAGGTTGCCCCCAGTCATTTGTTGCCCCTACGTGCAGGTTCCAAATACAAAATGTTGGCTGGTGCCCCATAGGTTTCACCAGGTTTGGGTCCTGAAGGACATGAACCAGACTTTGGCAATCACCTTACTTTGGGCTTGAACTAGCGACGACGGCACGTCCTTGCTCCACTTTTTCTTTGTTGTTTGTTTTTGCTAGAACCTATTTTGGGGATGTTTGTCCGTGGCCGAAGTGCTATTAGGTGTGTTTTTCTTCAAGATCATTTGGGTTTGGCCGAGTTGGAAGTGCTATTAAAAAGGATGAGCACAGGATCCTGTGTGTATTGATTCCGACCATTTCAGCGTGAACAGAGCAGGTCACGGCCGTCGTTCCGAGTCGTTCGGCCGCGGCCTAGCTTTGTTGGAAGACCGAACACTGTGGAACAGCTGTTGATCCCTATTGATTGGTCACGTTCCCAGACACTCCATGTATGGAATATTGTGGAATATGTGCCGCATTGCCGCATTACAACCATCATTGACCACCGAAACCACCCCAATGTAGGTGTCCCTAGAGCTATCTAGATCTTCATGCATGCAAATAAACATCCGCTTGACTATATTGGGAGGAACATTCTGCCTGTGTTTATAAAGAACACCTAAGCTCCAGCCTCGAGCGTTAACGCCGAGACACAATTACATGCATTCTTCCATGAAAAAAATGAATGAACACATGCTAGTCCCCAATCCAATGCGTTCGAAACCCATATCACTCACTCCTCCAAAAGGGACCATTCCTTTGTCCGCCCAACTACTGATTGTAGTGAAGGGGGGAACGGGTAAGAACGCCTACGCAAAAAGAAACAATGAATCAAAGCACAGAAGCACTGAACAAAAAGAAAACATATAGTGAATTCCTGATATACTAAATGATGTTCATCACTCTGGAAATGCCTGGAACCAGTGGTGGGTGGATCCTTATTGCCACCAAAAAGACAAGAACGCCAAGATGGGGACAAGAACGCCAGAGCGCACGGACCAAGATGGTGCCTTTCCTATGAGAAGCAGACATTGCTGCGCGAGAAGACGTTCGAGGTATTCCATACATGGACGTCTCTCGAGTTGTACTTCGAGACTGGACAACCCGTGGGAGGGCTCCAAAGCCATTTCCCTGACAAGTCTGGTTCTGAGTCATTTCCCTGAACATATCCAAGTATGGCACGTTTTACCCAAATTTCAATAAACTCCAATGTAGGTAAATATGGTCAGTCCCATGGATTGTTTGGGTTTGGAACCTCTGAGGGTGTTTTTTCAGCCGCAACTCCAGTGCCATGCGCCGCATGCGCCCAAATTGAGGGCCCAAGCACCAGATGGCTTCATCGGAGTGTTGCTGTGCTGTTCTTCAGGTATATGGGTCGCAGCCCAAGCCATGACAACTGATGTTGCTTGAATGTTAAACCAAGCATGATCAGCAGATTATTCATGTAGTTCTTGTGTTTCAAGCAAAGCGCCAGCTAGCTGACCCAATCGTTGTCCTTTTTCGAGGTTGGCTTTCCCTTGCACTGAGTTTTTCTCGAAAAGTTTCGGCGTGCATCCGTGCATCTATATTATGCAAAGGGCTTGACTATATATGGTATAGTGACTATGACGCGTCCCTCATGGGTCGGACCCGGGTTCAATCCCTGGGAGGAATATTTCATGATGAATCCCTGCTACCGCTACGGAACGGCAGACAATCGCACTGCGGCCTCAACTCGTGACATGTTCATTGGCAGACTCATTCGATTGTGTCTCACCAACCCTCGATGGCTGGCATGTCCAGTAGCAGTGGTGTCACCTTCTTCACATGTCTCGTTTTTTTTCCGCGGTGTGCAGGATCCGGGCTGGGAGAGGGAGTCTCACGACAGGACAAAAGTTGAACTAGTTGCTACCTTGTGATTGTGTGATTGTGGGGGCATGTGGTGAGATGAAGATGATGAGGTGATATTCCGCTCTGATGGGTAGGCGCCCGGGTGGCAGGCATTGGCCGTGTGCGGACTTGGCAGTTGCTTGCTTTGTAGCTTGTGGCGGCGTAGGCCTTCCTTCTGCAAAAGCCAAATGTAGAGATTGTGCAACTGCGTCGGCGAGCGTAGGTGTTTCGTAGGCTGGCTGCAAGGATCTGTCAGCCAGCATGACTCATGAACACTGCCAGCGACCACAAAGTTGCGCATTGAAAAAGGGAGACGCCCCCCCAGCCAGAGCCATGGAGGGATCAACACAAAGCCAGTAGTAGTTGTGTTCGCCCTATTGCAATACATTGACTTGTGGGGATAGAGCATCTCTCGATGTCCATCATGTCCAGGTGCTCCTGCCCACCGTTTTCGACGCATCCGAACTGCGTTCCGACTTCAATGGCAAAGTGATGCGCCTCTCGGTGGAGGTATTGGACCCAGCACGAGTGCCAACGGCAGTGAAAAACTGTTCCCCACCTACTGAGAAACAATTTGTTCAGCTAGAGACATTCGGAAAACAATAAGTTAACATCAAATTACCCTTTGTTAATCGTGTTTTTTGTGATTGGAAGGTGGGCCCAGCTGTCCCAGTTTAGTCCCAAACATTGTGAGAACACGATCTTTTCACAATAAATTTAACCAAGAGGGTTTTTGCAGGTTTCGAAGGTTGAGGATCAATGCATGTTTTCCTCACAACGTTTCCGATCTGTTCCAAGTGTGTCGAGTCCATTGACTTGGTCTAGTAAGTAAGGATAGTTTGGAGAGGTTTGGATTTTGATGCTACATGTACCTGGACCCGAAGTACCTAAGAACAATGGGCCAGTTTCCTCATGAAATATGTACTTGGTACCCATTGTTCAGAGGTACCTTGAGACTCCATGTAGTCATGCATTGTTGCGTTGTTTTCAGGCACACCTTGGCGACCCTCGCACCAACTCAGTCTACGTTTAATACCTACCGTACCATGTATGCCTTGGTGATTTACCTGGCGGATGTTCTTCGGTGCTTCGACCCACTCACCGGAAGGAACACAGTCGCCTTAAAGGTTTTGTTTGGTCAACACCAACAAGTGTGGCCCCCAGTACAGATCTGATCCGTGAAGATAACTTAAAACAAGGAATAATATTTTTAATATTAGCATGTGTTCAAAAGAACAATTATTCCAATGGTCTGTGCTGTTGCAAGAGGTATGATTCATTGATGTTCGACCAATGTGTTTTCTGCGCCCCTTGGACAAAGTGGGCGATTCCTGAATTGGGTGCGACAAAGACATGGGTGTCGTTTGCTACTGTTGACCCTAGAGCTGCTCGCCGGTTGTTGGATTTTCACGCCCTGCAAACACCTTTTGTGTAAGGAAGTTCCTTTTCAAGTCAACAAAACCTTATTGTTGTAATGAGTCAAGACAGACTCACTGACTGATGAATCGTGGGTTTTTGCAGGAAAGACATGGATTGCGTTGGAGGGTCCAGGTAGAATGCTTTCACTTTTCCTTTTCGTATTTACCCCTGCGGATTGTTCCGCCGGCCCTTTTGGCTGAGGGGGGGGGAAGGGGGGGGGGGGGGGGGGGGAAGTTAGACTTGTCAAAAATCCGCGCCGTGCGTACAATTAGACTAAAAACAAAACTACTACTAGGATAGCATACAAACCAATCACCTAAAACACGCCGCGCCCAAGGGCCGGCGGATTCCTTGTGCAGTTCCATTTTGATGATTTTGACGTTCTTTTGCTGTTCAAAGACCTCAAGGAATGCCTTTGGGAAAGAAGTCGCATGCTGCATGGTGTTCGCGTCAACATTTGCCCTCCATGTGGTCGTTTGGAAAGGTTGACAACTCACCCCCAAAAGCCAAGCAACCGGAAAGGGCGGGCAACCGGTGGGCGGGCCACCTGTGTACCTGTTTTCGCCACCCAAACCTGCGCCGCCGCCGCCGTTCACGTGGGTGGATGTGTGGCCGTTGGTGACCTGCCATTCGGGTCAGGATACCTGGTGCCCGAAGGCGCGTTCCGAGGAGGAGGGGGACGAGTGAGAGAAGAACAGGGCGACGAGTGTTGACCCAACCCGTTGACTTACCTGGTGGTCTTTCTGGGAATTTGCGACGGCTGGCCGGGCGAACATGGTCGGTTGAACGCCCCATCCCCAGGTTGGTATTAGCTGTGGATCAAAAGCTGGATTCCGTCCTGGTGGATCCTCAGGCCGAAGGAAGAGTTCCTCAACTAAGGGATGGTTTGTTACATGGTTTGTTGCGAGAGCTCTTGACCCTCAGCCATCTATTCTTGGACCCGGACCACTCAGATTGCCAAGACCACTCGACGACTCGACTTGGGAGAAGCCAACCGCGCCCCACGGGGGCCTCCCATGGCCTCCGCATGGCCGGATGGGTGTTACAGAGCTTCAGACATCCGTGGCGGAGCTGGACTCCGTGGCGTATTTGACCGACGTAACCCGAACTGGATAAAGTCGAGTTCCGCAACTGCGCAGGATTCCGCAACTAGGATTCCGCAACTGTTTGGTCGGATTCCGCAACTGGGATTCTGCAACTGGGATTCCGAAACTAGGATTCCGCAACTAGGATTCCGCAACTAGAGTTCCGCAACTAGGATTCCGCAACTAGGATTCCGAAACTAGGATTCCGCAACTGTCAAGATTCCGCAACTAGCATTCCGCAACTAGGATTCTGCAACTGGGATTCCGCAACTGGCGTTCCGCAACTAGGATTCCGCAACATTGTGGACTCCCTCCCTAGGATTCCACAACTTTGTGAATGATGAGGAATGTCGAGATCACACGATGGGGACAAGGGGGGGTTGGGGGGTGGGGGGGTTGGGTGGGGGGCTAATGACGTTGGTTTGGATGTGCTTCGAAGGTGATGTCACAGGCACACACGCTATCGCATGATGTGGAGATCACCAGTTGCAAGTTTCAGAAGGCAAGTTGCAGAATCTGACTTTCCAGTTTCAGAATACCAGTTGCAGAATTTGACTTTCCAGTTTCAGAATACCAGTTGCAGAATCTGACTTTCCAGTTTCAGAATACAAGTTTCAGAATCCCAGTTTCAGACTCCTAGTTTCAGAACCCCAGTTTCAGAATCCTAGTTTCAGAACCCCAGTTTCAGAATACCAGTTTCAGAATCCAAGTTTCAGAACCCTAGTTTCAGAACCCCAGTTTCAGAACCCTAGTTTCAGAATCCGACCGATTAGTTTCCGAATCCGGCTCTAACCCCGACGAACTGGGTCGTTCTCGGGTCATTTGCTTGATCGTTCTCGTTCGGATTCCGCCCCTTGAAGTGTTCTCCATGCCAAAGGTGGACATGTTGGATGGACTAGATGAAGATGTTGTGTTTCTTTTGGAGCAGTCTTTGGCAAGTTACGTTGATTTGACCACGTTGGCTCCAATGTATTCGTTGAGATGCCGTGAAGACACAATGAAGGGATGTCAATCAACTCTCCTTTGCCACCTGAAAGTTGCAAAATAGCTTCACTTTCTAGTTGCTTGTATGAGGCATGAGGATGTTGAAAAGGGGTAATGTGGGAGTGCACCACATGCACCACCCAGGTCTTGGTGAATGGATGGTCGAAACTCCGATGTTGCCAACAGTTTAATTAATTAGTTGTTTGTTTGGTATCACCAGGATGTAGTCACTGATATGTCCTCATGCAGTTATTAACCAACAACATGTTTATCGGACTCTTGTTGTGGTACTTGGCTTGACTTTGGATCAATTGCAGACTGGCCAAGCAATAGAATTATAGGGGATCACACTCAGATAGCATCTGGCGCATAGAGCAGACTGGTGGAAACCGGCTCCCTAAACCTCTTACCGGAGAGCAGGGCTTGAACAAGTGGATGCCATCAATGTGTGCAGCCGGAATGGTGGCTCATTTGCTATTTGTTCCTGGCAGTTCGCATCTCCACTCGTGGATACCATAGAGGTTTGATGCGTTTTGTTGCAAACGGATTGCAACAAAAATACCTGGATGCCATTTGTTTGTTCTTGGTTTTGACTGGGTTTGCTAGATGGCATCTGAGATGCCAAAGTCACAAACAGATGGCATTCCAAAGGCATTTTGCGAATGCCATCTGAGTGTGATCCCCCATGGCCATATATATGTTTTAACACCTTTTCACCGATCTGAACAACAAACGAAAACGCTTCGGCTGTTCTTTTTTTGTTTGCGGCATCGGGCTTCCCGCCACACTTTCCGGTCCGTCCTCCCTGGAGCCATCGTGCTTCGCGGCGCATATGAAAAAGCAGACGAGGCGGCCTGGTGAAGAAGGACGAGGCCTACGTCGAGTTGGAGGCCATGAAGATGATCATGCCCCTCAAGGCGGATCCACGACCGACCTCGACGCGACGGGTCAAGTCCGGACCGGTCCGGTCCGGTCCGGGTATTTGACCGCGGTGCGGTTCGCGGGTGCGGTTCGACACCACCGGCCTGTTGGTTTGTGGGTTGATGGGTTGAAGCGAGGGAGAGCTGGGAATGATTGTACTACATTGTCTTGCCTTTAGGATCTGAGAAGTGATGTACTAATGGTGCTGCCCTATTTGGCTGCGGGGCTTTAAGGATAATTGTCGTTGGGTAGATTAATATCTAATGATCGATCTACTATTCTAATCTAATTTAAAATCATATATTATCTACTCTAATCTTATCTAGTTTTGTCAAATATGTTCTAATCTATTCTATCTATCTATATCTATTTATCTATCTATCTATCTATCTATTTGTCTATCTGTCAACCTATCTCCATATTTCTACACAGATCTCTTGTTTTTGCACTTCTACACTGATCTAAACGATCAAACGTGCCCACAAAGTCCACACGCAGCACTGTCGCGAGGCACGGGCCACTGGCAAGTTGAAGCAGCTCAAGGGTCCCAACAGCATCGTCCAAGCAGGTGAGCTCTTGGGCACCCTGCAGTTGCAGGAGACCCGCGCGAGTACGCGAGCGTTCGAGCCGACTGAGCAGGAGACGGGGCGATCTGGTTCGGCGATCCGCGATCCGCAGGTTGTGGCCTGGTGAAACAAGTGCCACGTGGCCTGGTTCCCATGAGGAATGGGGAGCGCATTTGTTCTTTGGCAGGGGAGGAGGTGGTCCAGAAGGTCTTGGTGAACATGGGATTCGTTGTTGTTGTTGTTGTTGTTGTTGGAATGCTTGACTTTGCCCAAAACTCAGAGTATGGAGCAGTTTCCATGCTTCCCAAATGTACTTCTGGACAAATCACATATCACCTCAATTTGCACTCCCCGGAATAGCCATGGTGGTTTTCCCTTTCCATGATTACTTCAGGATAAAAGCATTTGCGGATCATGTTCCATTCGGGTTCGATGTTTTTGAGATCGTCGACCCAGAGAGACTTCAGAGATTTCCTGCTCACATGCTGAATCCAACACAACAAGTTTACTTCTCCATGCGACAACCATGCGTAACCTCAGTTTGGTTCCAGAGTTCACTCTGGAGGTCTGAGGGCTTTTTTCCAACATGTTCACTCTGCTTTTGTATTATGCGTTTGCTTTTTAATTAGTTTGGCTCTGTGTGACCATGTGCTTTCAGCCCCTCCAGAGTCTGGACTGAAGAGGTTGGTTGCTGGAGGACCCCAGCAGCGTGCAGCAGCTCATCGGCTTCAAGGGTGACTTCCAATTGCCCGCATCGAAGGTGCAACGGGCCGCGCTCCGCTCGGGCGCTTCCGGCGCTCGTGAAACACGGCACAGGCGCATGTTTCACGAAGTTCGGCTGCACGGGGATCAATGGATCAACACACAACTTTGGCAAAAGGACGCAACGGGATGGCATGCATATATGGCATATAAGGATGCAAAGGGATGGCATATATGGCATTGGCCTTGGGTTGCGGCCAAGCTTTGCTGGGTTTCTGAAAGGATTTAAAGGGCAGGTCTAGGTATGGGCTACGCCGGGTAGGGCGACCGCCCCAGAGACCGGTCATGCGACGGCTCCCCTGCATGCCCTGCATGCCACGTGGTCTCACTGCTTCACTCACTTAAGAAACAGACCCAGACCGCCCAGACCCCGAATCAACATCTGATTCTGGGGTGATGTTCCAAAGCTGACAGACTTAAGGCAAAGACGTACCGCCCAGCAGACTAGGGTGACATCTTCCCGAAGACCAACCTGCCGTGGTTTTGGGGTCCATGTGGTCCTTTGCAGAGGGGTATGTATGTCATAGATGGATTGTTTGGGTATAGACATCGCCTGGTGAAGCATCCAGGCGTCTGGACTGGACTCTTTGGGCTACACTGCGCTGAAGAAGGCGGCCGCAATACGTAGGCTACTGTGCTGGGTTGGGAGGTGTTGATACAGGTCCCTGCCATGTGGACGGTTTGCTGCATAAAACTCCCCGTATGGAAATGCAACAACTTTTTGCTAGGGTCGAATATGTTCAATCAACAGTCGACATTATAGGATCCTATAGGATGTTTCACCCTAGTGGGGAACACCAAACCCGTTCCCGTTCCAACCTGGTTTCTTGGAAGGTGTGACCGAAGCTTGGCAAACATCGGATAGACACATGGAGGAAACAAATGGTTCCCCCCCACTTCCTTGGAGTTTCTTCAAGGCAGCCTCAAGAAGGAAGGCTTCGGAATCCAAAACCTGCAGATGGGCTTTGGCCACGATGAGCAACTTTTGGCATCTCTAATGCGGTTCATCCTTGAATGAACAGCCAGTAGGGAGGTGTTTTGGTACTTTGTGTTTGTTCAGTATATGCTTTGCAACATCAGCACCGTCCAAGTCCAAGAATGGCTTCACTATAATGATGGTGACAACACTCCTCAACTATCTCAACTCTTGCAAGGGTGTCCAGAGGAAATTCGACTGACTAAAGGTCCACGCCTGGTTGTTTGTTTTGTTGTTATTGTTTTCAATGTTTGCTTGCATGGCTTGTTTTTCTACAAAGTATGCATGTTCTATTCATCCCCGTTACCCTACAGTTGCCCTGCAGGTCTTTGCTCGCTATTGTGCTCCCTGGGTGTATCATTTTATTTTCAAGCCCAAGACTTCAAGTGCTGCTGCCTGTACGCATTTGCACGCATCTGCGCGCGCTGACGGTTTTGCACTGACCGGCCAATTCCAGGCACTGCTGGCCTTGGACGGCTTCGAATGCCTGGGAAGCGCAGAGGACTTAGCGCAGGAGATCTTCCTCCAGGAGTGGCATCAGCCCGCTTGCTGTTTGATGTCTGGAAATGCTGGAAGTGAAGAGATTGGTTTCGATCGGTTTTCCTTCCAGCACTAGTGCATGAGTGGAAAGAGACATGTGTGGGGGTTGTCCGTTTTGGATTTGTGGGAAGCCTTTTTGGTGGAGCTTTGCTTCTTTGGGTTGAATTCTGAGTCATCAACTTTCAGTCTCTTCGTTGCACTTTTGGAACATACAGTGGTTCCATGGGTTTTCCTCCACAGATCGCATCAACATGTTAAGGTGTTATACATGCTGCAGGACCAGCGTATTCAATTCTTTAGTGGAAGTAATACCAGAATTATCACCATTTGAGACACGCAGACATGGAGCTAGCCTAGTGTTTCTTCCACCTTTGTGACCTTGAACCCGATGCTTCAAGCCTCGGGTTTGTGGGACAAGTTGCATCCAGGCCCATCCTGAAACCCTCGACACCCTAGAGGGTCATGGGGATCTCGTACTCTTAGTGAGGATGCCAGCCGAGCTCAGCCGAAGCTCCGAGGGCTCTGGGCCCCCCGTATGGTTCTGACATGTTCTGTTCTAAGGGCGCGTGAGATGAGGTAATGGACACGGGAGCATCACATCAGTCTCATGGAGCGTTGCATGAGGCACGGCTTGGTCACCATGACCACCGCGTTCACGACCAGCGTTCAGCACCCCCCTGCTTGTATCGAAGCTTAGCCATGACTGGGTAGTGGTTTCAGGTATTGTTTCAACCTTTACTTGAGATATCTTGAGGTGATTGATCTCATTAAGTTCAAGTGATTTGAAAACAGGAAATCACATTAAGATCGTTCAAAGGTCCACTGCGCAGGACCCCTCAGCCCGCCAGTGACCTCAAAAGATCTCATGTCGAGAATCATCCTAATAGGATGAAGGCTCACCAACAGAGATTCCGAGGTCACTGACTGAAGGTCCTGGCCCATGACCAACAAATTCAACATCCACAGAGGATCATTCTCATGCAGTCACTGGCTGCAGCTGTCGGCCTGGTGAAACCAGGAGCTGGGCCTCAGCGAAGAGGAGAACACTGAGCAACAGCTCCAGGCAGCCACGCAGCTCTTGGAGTACTACTTGCAGGTGCACGCAGCTCCGTCATCACGCGACGGGAGCCCTGCCCCGCGTTTTGCGGAGAATGACTGTCGCGATCGCATCGACCTCCAGCTAGCACAAGAGCTCAGAGAATCATCCGAAAAAGGTGGCAGACCGCATTTGTTTTTCCATGGGATGTTATTTATGAATGTTCATGAATGGGTTGCTTTAATCATTTTTATATAATCATAGATTATGTATAAATTAGTTATTTCTATATTCAATAAGTTTCAATTGTATTTTACATCCTTTCGTTCTTTCTTTTCGCGATGGGTGACCACACCTTCTCTTCTTCTACTCGACCTGCGCCGCACACGACCAGCTCGGAGGTCGAGCGGCGCTTTGGGCCACTCATGGCCGGTGGAGAGGACTTGGCTGTGAGTCAAGTCCTCCAGGACAGTCAGGGCACCCAGCACGTGAGTCGTGGGTTCGGCCTCGTTTCCCGTGACGAGAGAACGGGTTCGGCCGCGATCTCGATGGGGATGAGATGGTGGGGAAATCATCGGACCAGGGGAGATGTGTGTGTGTGTCTTTTTGGAGGGGGGGGGCGTTTCGGGATGGTTGTGGGTGGTGGCATGTCTCGTATCTCACGGTATCTCATTGAAGTCATGTGGTGAAGATAATCCAAAGTTGCTCGCCATGCCAGAGGCCATACTTTGTGAAGATGGCGGTCACTGCAGACATGCGTGTAGAGGCGAACAGTCCTTTGCCCTGATCCAATCATGTTGTTGCGTTTAGATCAAATTGTCCAAACTTCATTTTGGACACATCCAAACTCCGGCTGACCTTCCCAGTGACCAAGCTCGAGATCTCAGTCACTTCGATCTTGAAGAGGAAGTACTTGGACAAGTGGAAACTCCCAGGAATCGCCACTAAAACGAGGTGTCTCATGAAAAGTTCCTGCATCGATATTTGTCGTCCTGGCCCACCCTGTCCAGGTGAGCCGTCAGGTTTCACCGTCCAGCTGGGACTGCTGCGAGCGCACAGCCAGCTGAAGCTCCTGGGTACCGCAGGGGCTAGGGATCAGAGGTCTCGACCTGCAAAGACGAAGAGACTTTCGTCCAAGTGCTTTGGATCTTTAATCTTTGGAACCTGTGATTTGTCCAATGAAAGACCAGGGGAGACCATGAACATCATGAGATTGACACAAGGAAACATGGAGAGACAACGGGGGCAGTTCTTTTTCTCCGGGCGACATCCAGTGACACGTCACCAATGCCATGGTCCAAGCAAGACTACAGTTGGTATCACAAAAGGCTTAAATAACTATGTATAACTATGCAATAAATACCTGTCACATATGATTCCTAATCGATTCAGACATATCAGGTGAAAGGACTAAAGGGACCTTCAAAACTTGGAGCAATTGCAAGAATCCCTTGTCATGTCATGACCCTTGTCATGACCAAAGCGAACAATCCTGGAATGAAAGAAAGCTGGAAGCTGTCTCGTCCTTCCATCCTCCAGATCGGTTCTTCATCTGCTCGCACCCCCTTTTTCGTTAGCTTTCCTTCCCCAAATCACTGCTGTTCCGTCCAAAGAATCCACAAAGGAATGCAAGAGGATGCTTAGAAGAAGCACCGCGACCACACCGGACCGCTCGCGGTCCGGTGCGGAGAGCCTCCGAGGCTCCGCAGCGAGTTGCTGGCCGGCGTCATGGAGCGCTTGTCGCGTGGCGAAGGGAAGACGGAGGGAAGGCGGCGCCAAAGCAAGGGGTGCTAAAAGGGGTGTGGACCATATATCCCCCAGAATCCATCATTTGTTTCTGCATTGACCCCTCAAAACATCTTAAAGCCTAAGCCACCCTAATGTAGTCAAGTATAGTCAAGTATCGCATACATGGATTAGCATGGATTGTTATAACTAGATCCCCTTGGAATTTGAGGGGGTCTCTAGGCAATGAACCACCCATAGGTGTTAAAGGAGTTTGTTCTTGAAACTGCACCCATGAACCGTCGGTCAAGAGCCTTTTCTCACCTCCTCGGAAGCCGAGGAAGAGCTTGCCCGTCCACGAGCCGCGCCCCAGCGACGACAAGCCTAGAGCAGTGTCGGAGGGCCTCCTGAACCGAGAGGCCGACGAGAAAGCCGAAGAACTCTGAGGATGGTTGTACAAGTAGCCTCTGAGTAGCCTCTGATGGTGTTGAGGTTGACAAGAACTCTGAGGATGGTTGTACAAGTAGCTGGTTCCTGAATACAACCTCAACACCTCCGGATCACAGTCCTTGTGTTCTCCCTCCGAAGGACTCGTTTGCACCGCCGCAGGTCTCGCAGAAGACCTTGCGCCACATCCGTGAAGAAGGCAGGGTTTCGTTTCCCCACTCAGAAACAGTGGATAACCCGAAGATACCTGAATTCTTTTTTGGGGAATTGGTGTCCCTATTCAAAACAAAAAGGCAGGCAGAACCTTTGTTTTCCAGGGAAACTGAGGGAGTCAGCAATGGTCCCGTGGTGTTCGATCTGACCTGAAGACTGGCGATGATCAAACGGACGTGAAAGCAGTGGCTGTTTTTTTGGGACTGGCAGATGAGTGACGAGCAAACTTGACAGATGTTTCGCAAGAACCATGGTTCTACCATGTTCTACCGGGAGTTCACCGTTAATTTAAAACCCGTGTCACTACGTGTCACCGTGAATTTTGCGCGATCCATTTGCCTTTATCGGAAAAGTTGTGCATTCTACTATATTGTAAGGTAACCAAATTGGCATGCAGCAAGGTTGAACTTTCGATCCTCACTCCTGTCGTGGATCAGTTTCCTTGCGGTCATGGTTCAACACAAACGCTATCAACCAAGCAACATGTGCAAACTATTGGTGCGACAATCCCATTTTAGTTTGTTATTATATGCAGAGGTGAAATGCTTGTTCAATATCATTCTTGAGTCAGGGTGAAAAGTAACTGCCGCTTTGATAGAAAATCCCTTCTAGACCCATCCAAAATACCGCAGTCATTGGCCCATCCTTGTGCTAGCAACAATCCCCCCCAAAGATTCCACTTTGGATCTGAAAGAACCCTAGCTGGATCTTCCAGACCCCAAGTGATCTACCTATCCCACCTATAGATCCAATCTATATAGCTCAAAATCCATCCAAATAGATCCCACCCACTTGCTCCCCCCTGCCGCGTCGCCTCCGAACAAGGCCACTGGAAGCGCTTGAGCGAGCTGTTGTCCGAGCTCTCGGAGATGCCCAGCCACGGCCACTACTCCCCGGTGGCCCGGCGATCCGCGGTGCGACCGGGTTGAGGTGGTGAGAGAAGTAGCAAAGAAGACTCTCAGGTGGATCAAGTCATTAGGGTCCCAAACATGTGGTTTACCCAGAATTTGTTTAAAAGACCAGGATATAGGATATAGGTTGTGAGTGGTGAAAGACATGCATGGTTTATCATGGTTTCATGTATTTATATAGATAGATAGATTCTCCCGCAAGCCGGTCACATCCAAAACCGTCCAACATTTGCTCACGTCCAAACACCTTTGGCAGAAGAGGTTGGGGGGGTGGCCAAGGGATTGAGGGTCTAGATTCTAGATCCACGACCTTTTTGGGACTGGCATATGAAATACAATGGGACTGGCATAATAGACTCGACCAACCCCATGAGGGCGTTTGGTCGTGAAAGAACGCACCATCTTTTGGGTTTGTGCCACCAAGCATGGAGATTCCCGGTGCGAAGAGATCTTGACATGCCGGCACGGAGACCAACCCGGTTTTCCAAAAAGGATCTGAAGCACCAGACAGGTTTGGCGTCACCAGACAGGTTGGTGGGGTGAGGTCCCTTTGACAGCCATCGATTCAAGCCTTGCAGACCAAGGTGCTTCTACCAGCGACTTGTCTTGCAAGGAGCATGAATGACAGGCATCGCCCTCGTCACCCCTTTTTTGAAGCAATGAAGACCTTGAAGACTTATTTGCTTTTCGACCTTGAAAAAAGAGGACTGTAGTTCGTTCGTGTGGTTCCCTGGTATATTGAATCTGTTGTGTGTTTCTGTTTACTTACTGTGTACACCTGGCCAAACCAAGCGGATGAAAGAGGGCGACCAAGTCCAGAGCTGTTTTTTTTGGACGCGATTTTCCAAAAGACCCCCGAGGCTGTACATGGTTAGGGCTGGTTAGGGCCTGGCGCTGACTGCATTCCAAATCCCAACAAACTGACCAAGCCCAACACATTTTTTAAGGATTGCCCCCTGGCCGCTGCTCGAGGCATTTCAAAAACTGCTGATGAGATGGTTTTGGGTCGGTTGAGTAGGTTGAGCCAAGCAAAGGGTTCCAAATAACATGGAGGCTTTGCCAGAGGTAACACTGGTACAACAGATGTCCGGAAAGAAACCTTAATATAGAAGCAATCGGCCTGTTTTTGTTGCGGCAAGTTCCAAACCATGGTCCGCTCTGCCTCGTTGCATGAATCAATCTTGCTGGTGCTTGTGTGTAGTTTGCAGGGGACAGGATTGATAGGAACAAAAGTAATGTGATATGGGTTTGAATATGACGTGTTATGATATATTAATTAAATTATCGTTATACAAAAGGTTCATGCATGCAGGCTGGGCGTGTGGCTGTGCAGGATAATGTGTGATGCTGGTTATATCAAACTTGCAAGGGGACTTGTATGAGGCTGAGGGGACCCTGCCAAGTAGGATTGTCGTCACTGGGATGATCCAAGTGGGGCGCCGCCCAAACCTATTTGGAGAACTCTCCCCAGCCACACCTGAGAAACGGCTTCCCACCCGCAGCCGGAGGTGGTGTTGTTGTGCGACATCAGAGCGTACAGTCCTCCATTTGTCCAAACAAGTGAGTATCGAAAGAATGGTGTATTCTGTAATTCTGCTGGTTTTTTTTCCATGTTCTTCAGCTTTCACCAGAGGTCACAGTCTGTCACAGTCACCGGTGTCACCGGTACCGGTGCCTCCCACCGAGGCGCGCTGCCTTTGTCAGATCTTAGACCGACAACCCTGGGAGACTCGACGTTCACAGCTGCGCACTGCCCTCAAGGCACCGTGAGTTGGTCCGGGTGAACACCTGGATGAACCGGGCGTGTTTCGTCCCGTTTGGGGTCTTTTGCCGAACAACTTTGGAGAAGCTCCGAAGGTTCTTGGGGCGCACCGAAGTGACGCGGGAACTGTTCAAAGACATGGCCGGGTGACAATGGGTGACATGGGTATATGTCAATGGTGCTTGGCTGAAAAATAGAAGATTTCACCACCAGAAGTTTCTTCATCTATTTTCCCAGCTTGTTTTGGGGGCCTACCTACTGCAATCTATACTCACTTACGCAGCCATTATGTTTGTTGTTACTTAACCGTCTTAACCATTCATATTTCATATAGCCGCGCCTCTAATCCTGGAATCTCCAGATTCACAGCAATTTGAGCTAGCCCGACTCAGACATAGGGTGCGGCTTTTGCGCACCTCGCTGGCTGCTGCCTGGCAGGAGAGTACGAGCAAGAAGGATGTCTCCGTCCCTGAACAGCACGGGAGGTACATGAAGGACTAACCTTCTGAAGACGCATTTGCCAGAAAACCAGTTTGCAGATGGTCTTTCGAACTGGGTTCTCATATCCGTAGTGACTCTGGTTTCTCCATACCTTGCCCAGTTAGTGGATAAACTTTAACCATTTGGGAGATGTGTTTCCCCACTAAACACGAACAGGGGAGAAACCCAAGCTAGCTTACAACATGGGCGTTCTGTCCCACTCTATGCTCTAATGAAACACGTGCTTTGCGGTGACCTGTGACCTGACCTAACCTGTCCCCGGTCTGACTAGTCTGAGAGATCGAAGAGGTGCTTTGGCCCATCTAACCGAGAGTATGGGCCAGTAGAGGCCCACCAACATCTCAGGAGTGGAATACTTTGGACCCACCAACTTGTTGGGCCAACCTGCCTTAGGGTGGCTACTTTGCCTCCGAAGTGGTTCTGAAGATCATTTCACTGTCGGACTGAACACGTTCCTCCAATCCCAAGGCTGGGAAGATTTCCACTTGGCCCTCGCACTCCGCCGGATGCGCCTTGTTGTGGCAGATTCCGGGGGATCGATCTGTTGGACACGGGCCACAGATGTCAAACAACATCAATGACTTGGTTCTGGGCTCGCCAATTGTCCATTTAAGAAGGAACCCGCACCAATCAATATACTTTGTGCAAGGCAGGAATGCCTAGTGCTTCCACAGGGCGTCCTACATTTAGTCCTATAGACATATTGGGGGTTGTCCAGGTGACCCCAGTTTGGCTATGAGTCCAAACCTCCCCACCAACCTAATGATAGGAGATGATAGGTTAACATCCCTAAAGGCATTTGTTCATTCGAACCGATCAACCAAAGTGTCCCATGTTTTGATCCTTGGCCTTTTCTTCCAGTTCCCTGCCTTCCGCCTTTCAACTTTTCCCTACAAGTCAATGACCTCATTTTACTGGAGTTGGTCATACAAAAACACTGCTCCAGCAGGTCACACACCAGGTTTTACGTGCGGACGTCACGTATTTTCCCGGACGTCCGCGTACCTACCGGGTTGAACTCGGAGGTTCCTTGCCCGAGGCAATTTGCTCCTGTCCATCCTCTGGGACACCGACGCCGTGGTACGTGGGAAGGCCTTGGAAACCTTCATCCGTCGCTCCTACCGCGCCTGTGGCGTGAGCGCCACCTCGCACTTGAGCGTTTGCACGCAAGGTCCCGGGTGGCTTGGTGGAGCACGGTCGAAAAGGGGCGGATGGAGTCAGGCAACCTGAGACTGTTTTCCAACCCTTACAGGGTACCCACCTTGCGGTATTGGTGTTTCTTCGGGGTTTCTTTTTGCTTGTACGGCTTTTGTTTACGGCTTTCCAGTTTCTTTGACTGTTTAGGGCTTAAGAAGTCTTTCACTTCCGCCAACGTGCCGGGCTAATTCCCATCAATTCCCCATTGACAAGGAGTTTAATTGTTCATTTTTTAGACCTCTTAGATGAATAAATATAGCCGCACCCACGCCGACATGGAGCGCAAAACCTTACATCATATGTGTTTTAATAATCAAGGGTCTACATTAGCATGGGTTAGTTGGTTGACTGGTCGTAAGATTGTGAAGATGCTTGCAGGAGGGAAGACGTTTGAGACGCCAAGGTTTCACGACGTTTTGGGGAGGGAGTTTGCTTTCCTCAAAAACACAAAGACATCGACCACTGAATTCAGGATAATCTCCCACAAACCTATGTCACCTGCACCATTAGTGCAGCCACAAGCACTACGTCACTTGGATGTTGCAGGTAGAAGTTTACAATAATCACGAAAGTGCTGTTTGTATTCAACAAATGGTCATCCAAGGGGCCATGCCATCCACTTGCATGCATATTCCACAAAGTACTTCTCTTAGCAAACAGGAGCAGCCCGAAAGCGAGTCGCCGCTTTCGGGTCGTTGAACGAGCACGTTTGGGTGGCACGGCGCCCTAGTACTCAGGTTGCTGGGTGGGCGCTGGCGCTTCCGAAACCCTGGGAAGAGCGTGGATGGAGCTGCGATGAGCGCGACTGGGATTTCAGACACCGTGACACGACCGATGTCAGACACTGCCTGATTCGCCTAATGGAGTGGTTTGGGGTGTCCATAGAATATGTAGTTTTGTCCTTTTGTTGGCAGATCCCATGGAGTCATTGGTGGGTCGAGTTGCGATGTGTTCCTTCCTGTTTCGACTGTTTCCGGCGACGTGTCCACGGATCGTTTTGGGGGGAAGCTTTGAGTCCTGGTTCTTCAGAGTGGCCTGCAAGTTGGGTCACGCAAAAGGTCACCTCAGGTCAGTTCAGGTCACGCACTGAAGAAGCGTTGATGTATATATGTTGATGTGTTTCTTTTACTTTTTTTTCGCAGTGTTTCCTCACCGTTTTGTTAAATTCATCTGTGTAATATGAACACAATCTAGTAGGAATCATCTCCGAGCTTTTGGGATGCGATAGAACGGAGTTTTTTTCTTCCCTCCATGCTCTCTCAATCACGGTCGAGTGCACCGCTCCCGAGGTTTGGCAGGGATGGGCGAAAGTGGTGCCCACCAGTAAGGCCTTGGCAGAGTTCTTGAGTTGCTGGGCGGAGCGGCCAAACGCGGGCAGGAGACGGAGACGGAGCGTCAACGCGGAGCGGGCAGTCTGGATGAGGGCGGATGGGGGGGGTCGGCGTGGATCTGAAACGGTTGGTGCTGCCATCGCAATCACGCCAGCGGCGTGAATCAGGGCTTTGGATTCCTTGATTCTCTCTGTCAAGCTTCTTTCGTAAAAGAACGACGTAGATGAAATCTTCTCCAGCCAAGACATATATTTCTGGAATAGTCTGGAATGCAATTCAACGGCTGGATGAGTTTGCGCTTGCTTTATGTTTGGGATAGCCATACACTGTCATATATCCCAAAACTCCTCTAACTGATCGGGAATTTGGAGTGTTTGGGACTATAGTTGTATACTGGTCTATACATTTAGGTTCGTTGATGAGCCGATCGCTCTCGAACTCGAGGCTCAGATCAGTTATCCTTGGGCTTCGAGGAGAAGAAGGAAGCGGACGCGACAGGGCCAGGGCGCTTGCACTTGATTGTCCTGGATGCCGTTCAAGTGGACCAGGCAGCTTGGGCAAGTGAGCCCATGAAGCTGAACTGTTCGGGTTGGTGACATTGAATCCATGCTGGTCTTTCATTCAGGCAAGAGGCTTTGGACAACCTCCGGTTGGGGACATGTTGGAACACCTGGTGGCATCACGGAGCCTGACCCGGCACATGAAAAATTTTATCACTCCTTGAAATAGATCATGGAAGTGGCCTGTTTGTCGAAGAGTCCTCCAAGTTGTCGGGGGCCTTGTCATCAACGGCCCATGATTCCAGGGAGCATAAGGACATGGCGCCATGGACTCTATCCCTATGGGTCAGAACGACCGTGCAGAGTGGGGTGTTCCTACAGGGCTGCTCACCCGAGCCGTTGCCACAACAGCTCCTGCTCACGTTGCATTCCATCGGCCCGATCTGGATGGATGGGCGAATTCAAAGCCTCCACGAGAGCAGCTGGAACATCCTGTTTTTTAGGTTGTAAACATACTTATGGGTCCTAAAGCCAACGGCTATATGTCCAACCAAGTTCCAAGGCATTCCAAGGCAAACAACCCATTGGCAGTTCTGCAGTCCGGAGTCCAAGCAGAGCCAATGCAGTCCATGAGTCCATTTGTCACTCTATAGCAGCTATGTAGAACCAAACAAGACAAGGACTACAAGAGCAGGAACCTCTCTGCCAGGTCTTAGTTGAGGCTTTGCAAGGGCCCATGCCAACCGTCGCACTTGCCAACATGTCGGTTGTTGGTGCCGGTAAAGTTGTTGAATCGATTTCATCCCATCCCCAGGGCGCAGTGGATCCGCTACCATGTCCTACTTCTTTTGGACAAAAAAAATCACCCACCCACCTACCCACCCCATCTCATTATACAACCCATTATTTATATGTTGTTTTTTTGACATTTGCAGCAGAAAACAGTAGCCTTTTCACTTGATGTCTTTCATGATCACTCATGATCACCCCCATGTCACCCCTTGTGACCCACGTCCCACCCTTTTGGGAAGCTGGCCACCCCAGTGAGGTGCACCAGCAGCTCCGTTCGGTGGAGGCGAAGCTCAAGACCTTCGGCGCTTGCGAGGTGTGGGGTCCGCGGCAGAGGGGTCCATCCACCTGAGTTGCAACAGAGGTTGAAGAACCTTATTATATAACTACAAATATACACATACACTTATAACTTTTAGACTATCCTAGTCAGGTCCAGAAACTTATAACCATCATATAAGACTATCCTAGTAAGGTCCAGAAACTTATAACAATCATATAATAAACTTATAGGTACTCCAGTCAGGTCCTAGTAAGATCAATTTATCCTCTCTTGATTGTTCCAGACGTCCAGAAATTCCAGTCAGAGATTTTTTTCGGTGACGGGAACAACAAATAAATAGAATCACTGACCTCTTGGCCAAAGAGTTTGCTCCACTTTCGGTTCGCTTGGTGGTTTCGGTCCCATTATCCACTCACATATATGGACCCACCCATGTTTTAATTGATTTCAGAGCCTCCATTCATGAATGACTCATCGGCTAATTTTCGGATCTCAACAATGGTCAGGTCAGATGGTCGGATGTGTGGCACAAATGGTTCTTTAAAGCCTTGGCTTCAGCTTTCCCATATCTCGAGTGGTTAGAGTGGGTCCGGCATGCTGAAACTTCAGGCTTCCTGTATAGCTCGATCTTCCTATATACTTTCCTATATATATATATATATATGAATACACACCAAAATCCTTTGGGTGCATAGGACTCCCATTCCGCCCACAGCTCGCTGCACGTTTGCAGGTGGTCTTGGTGTGGCCTGCGCGGACTGCCTCCGAGCCGAGTTGCTTGGGCGCAGTGGATGACGTCCAGGATGGCCCCGGCAAGGCGCGAGACAGTGCCGATGGGCGTCCAACAGATAATGTCCATATAACAAATTCATGGAAACAAAGTCTTTTACAATAGCCTCCAAGAAATAACTTCCCAGGTCACAGCAGCAACAACACGAACACGGACTACATCCATGGCGAGTTTTAATACCTTCCCTGTTGTTCAAAAGATCGTTAAAAAATGTGGTGCCTCCAACTGGGCTGGAAATTGCGTATGTTTTCAGATACTGCGGAACACTCCATGTGGCCATGCTCAAAGCCTACATCAGGGTGGCCTTGGGGTGGTTTGGGGAGTTAATCAAGGCAGAATTATGGTAGCCCCAGGTGTTTGGAGTATGCAATCGTGCGAACACTGCAGCTACGCGCTCCCAGTGGCGGCTGAGGCTACGCGCATTTTGCGGCGCGCCATAGTTGGCGCGAGGCGGGGCGGGGCACCCGGGCAGAGATGAACGAGTTGGTCACGACTTACACCTTAAAAATATGAAGGACATGGTCTTCCAAGGGACCAGTTTCCACTTCCATGTTCGTGTAAGTTCTTTTCATTGGAAGTGACCGAAGGGTCAGCAAAGAAGGACGGACAGCACCTGTTTTCCGGGGTTGCAACCAGGGTTGTGAGTTTCTTCATGTCGTCGCATTCGGACGATGCAGATTTCTTCAATTAGAAGTCTGATTGGGAAGTCTTCCGTTCGCGCGATACAAACCCCCAAAATAATCTGAAGTTTCCTTATAGTTATGATGTTCATTTTAACAAGTGCGCATTCAAGCACAAAACTCCACCCGCTCACACCCAACCCATATTGGGGTGGTTCGCCACTTGCTCACCTTTGACCCAAGAAAACTTCACTCTTCAGCAAAACCGCTCATAACCCTTCAAAGCCACCCAAAGGCGTGCATGTTTCAGCTACAGAATTCCAACATGTGTTCCAACCCTAGGTTCGCAAGAAAGGTTAAAACAGTGCTATATTTTGTTACAAAGGTTCTGGATAAACTACAGCGACGAATAGGATGAAATATATTCAGAGAGATAGGTTCTGGGGACTGGAGACTGAAAAGCGACCTTCATTCTTCCCATGCCACGAGATGGACCATTTTGGAGATGGACTCCTCGGTATAGAACTCCAGATCCTGTGGATAGTGACGCCTTCAGACATGCATATTGTTTAAAGTAGAGGAACTCCTGGAGAGCAATAAAGCTGGTATGATTCGGTATGATTCTGGATTCTGATCAGTGTTCGTTGCTGTAGAACTCACATCCACCATGCGGAGCTGTGCATTTCCAGGACACAACTTGCCCAGAACCCTGCGCCAAGTACTGCTTGGTCTACCGAACATGGACAGGTGAGTGCCTACCGCGAGCTCAGCTGCACAACCCCATGTCTATTGGAAGTGGATCAGCCACTGGGACCGAGGGAAATTCAGGGAGTTCGTTGTGGGTGCCTGGACGCCTTGTTTTTTCGACCAGTTTCTTCAGAAGTCTTGGCCCTTCGGATTGGGCAGTTGAAGAAGCAGAGCAGCATGTCTTTCTTTTCCCCAGCACACCAGGGACAAACTGATGAATTCCTTGGCTGAGTGGCTGAGTGGTTTGAGAGGGGTCCTTGCCGTTCGACGTCTTGTTCAGTGAGTTGGTGCCAGTCCTCTTTAGCATTTTCGTCCAATCAAAGATTATGGGAAGAAACAATCAGCAAACATGAGCTCCTTTTGAGTGATTTTGAGTGGGTGCACACATTTGCTTGAAGGGCCTATTGTTCTTGTTAGCCCTGACTGCGAACATCTAACAGCCAACAGAAATGGTGCTCTAAACTGCACTGCTGAGGCTTGCAGAACAGTTTCATCTTCAACATCTTCCGCCTGTGTCTTGGATTGGGCGACATCGGACGCCGGTGCGGCACGGGACGCGAAGCAAGGGGGACGCCATGTGCTTTGCCCCGCCGGACATCGGGCGGGTTGATGTGTTGCAAAAATGACGTGATGGATTGGACCAATCGAGTCGAGTCTTGCTCCTTGCGACCTCCTTGCTCCCCGAGTTGGTGGAGATGGTCTATGGTGGTCAATGTAAGATGCCCAAACTCCGAAACCAGACTTGGGAGATTCTATTGTAGATGTGCATGATAGTGGCTTCTTTGAAACCAGGACGACTGAGTGAACAACTCCAGGCATATGAGGCACATGAGTATTCTCTTCATTTGTTGGTTTTGCATGAGTATGTTTAATTCGTAATTCATAGCAATGCTGCTGCTACACGCAATAGCCATAGACGCAATGCAAAAAATGTGTTGCATGAGGTTTGGACTCAAACCCCTATGCTTGAAGTCCTAGTCCCAGTCATTTTCCTGGATGGTCATAGCCTGAAGTCCACCAACTAACATGACAGCCAGCCAGATCACCCAGCACCAACATGTCGAGCACAGCTCCATCGTGCCCAGCCTCCGGCTCAACCGTGGAGAGAATTATGGCCGAGTTGGGTCGAATGTTCCTTCTGAACTGGGAGGTCGAGGTGTTTGGGAGGTCTCTCATTCTTTTGTACACCCATGACACACCAATTGTTCTTGTTCAATTCTTTTGCAAATGCGGTCATGAAACCAACAAAAACTGTTTGCTGCCTGTTTTGGGGAAAGGTGAAGCCTGGTGACTGGTGAGCTATATTTGGTGCTCACTTGAGGAAACCATAGTGTGATTCACCCACATGATGTCGACACAACGGTCTTCCGGCAGCCTCAAGTAGGACCCCACGAACCTCTCCCAATGTGTCTTCTATATGGACCACCAAGTTTAAACAAAAAGCAGACCTTTTGCGCCTGTTGCGCTGGCACTGACAACCTGCATTTGCCTCACTGTTTCGGCGCACACCGCCCCACCGAGGTGTCCTCGGAGGTCGACGTGTCCCACGTGGCTCGGCTCGGTTGGACCACCGGTCCGCGCAGTGGTTCCGCACCGGACCGCAGATGGACGTGGCTCGGTTGGTCTGACCTTCCAGGGAGGGGCGGGAACCGGAACCTTTCACATCCGAAGCGGACGATCAAGAAACATCAAGAAACATCGTTGGTGGCTTGTGGTTCTTCGTGTTCCCCTCTTCATGGAGCGCTTGTCGATGGTTTCAGGGAGATTCCAGAAGACGGACCGGAGGACTGGATTCGTGGACCGCGCGGGCGAAGCGAAGCGAAGCGAATTGGGCAGCCCCAGATACTTGGGACTGGTGACTGAAACAACCGGGCCCAACTGGAAAAAAGGAACATGGCAGTCCCAGACAGGTCGTGCTTGAGAAGGGTGTGCAGCCTCACACTGCAGGTGGAGAAAGGTTAATAGATGTTAATAGAAAGTATTGTGGGCTGACCAGGGTGATTCTGCATAGATGGCATAGAAATTGCAGGACTATAGAGCCTTCAATGTGTGTTTGGTGCATGGGTTCCTTTCCAGTTTGCAATATCACGTGACATATCGTGACATCATGGAGAGCCGTACCAATCCACGTGCAAGAGAGGATGGGTGGGATGCAAAAGCTTGTGTTTGAGGTCTTCCTGGCCACGCCACAAATGGGCGGTACCAAGGTGGTCCACGCCTGCCACTTGGCAAGACCGCCAGGACGCAGTGCAAATGAACGTCCCGTTGGACGAGTGACCGAGTGACATGACATATCATTTAGAATTGAAACTAAAGACGCGAAAATGACCCAAACATGTAAAGTACTATTCTCAATGATATAATGTTGCTATATTATTCTCAATGACCCAATTTAGTACTATATTAATAAAGTACTATGAGTTGCTATGACTTAGTGTCTTATTCCAGTCCGGATGTGTTGGGACTCTACATCGTCCGCTGTGGTACGTTTCCCCACGATGGAACCACGAAAACGCCCGTGTGCGTCTGCAGCTACCACCTTCTGCCCAGGTTTGGCGAGCCATGCGCACCTAAACTTCGACACGGCCAGTAGCGATTGGGCGGTGCGTCTGGAATCGTTGATGTGCCTCGGTCCTTTGACCGACGCGTCGCGGACTCGTTCGTCGCGGACTGTGTGGGCTGGGTCTCGTGGGGTCCGTTTGGAATGAGTGAAGAGGGGAGGAAGACACCGAGAAGGCTATTGGTGGCGGTGGGTAGGCTGCGTGAATGTGAGAAAGGGACCCGCAAGATGTGGCAGTGGATCATTGGGGACTCGCATCGTGTTTTCATGTAGAAATGGTTGCGGGATGCGGGATGGGTCATGGCACAAGTTTTAACAAGATTTAACATAGTCACACCATGTCACACCAGTTGCCTTAAGGAGTTGCCTTTTGGATTGGTTCCAGACTTCTGGTTTCAGGCTGGATGGCATGCACGAGTTGGAGAACGCCAAGCTGAACCCGGCCATGTCGGGCGCCGAAGGCACGGGACTTCGAAGGGTTCCGTGGTGTTCCTTTATGGTTGGACCCCCCCCCTGGGGGCAACTCCCGAGTGCCGATTTGCCGCGCTGCAGTGGTGACGGCAAATCGTTGACTTCCTTTCCAGACTCCCTTTGTTAGAAGGTGGGCAAGATTCCCTCACTGCATATATGTTAGCTCGTCTATGACGGAACCGAGGCCGCCTTTTTGTATACGTGTGGCCCATGTTTTGCTTCCACTTAGAGCTGTATGTTGCCCATGTTGCCCTTTCCCCGAATCTGCTGATTACACTCCGTGGATGACCATGAAATCCTCATACCAAACAGGTGGTGAAGTCCACTTCCATGATCATTTCAAGGAGTGTCTCCCAGACACCACCCATGAGCCATATGGGCCTCCCATCTATGCCATTTTTTCTATTTGACTCCCTAAACCACCACAACCTCTGGCCTTTTCTCGGCCAGTTATGGCAGCATATGACCTTGATCATTCCAAGTAGCTTGGAAGAGGCCGGCACTCCACCGGATGAGCGCCACGTTTGACTCGCCGCACCAGCCGCACGGCAGGTCGCATCTTCTTGCACCTCACCGCCTTGGCCGACATGGCGCCTCAGATCGGAGGGTTTTTCGCGGTCGGCGGTCGGAACACACGAAAGGATCGGAGGAGCCTGGAAAGGATTCGTTTTTGAGATTTGTTGGAGGTGCTAAGAACCTAGAAACAGAGGAGATTTGTTGGATGTTGCTCTCCAGAACATCCAGTTGAGTAGGAGGAATGTTTCATGGATTTTCACTTGCTATTGTTCCAGTACCCTCCAGTATGTCTCCTGGAAGAGATGTCACACTCCAGGTCTCCTTGGAGATTTTGAAGACAACATAATAAACATTAGGATATTTTGGGCAGATGTGTGTGTGTGTGTGTGTTTGTGTGGTGGTGTTTTCTACAATGGCCCCTTAACCCCCTTAGCATGTTTGGACTGAATTGTTTGTTTTTCCTAGAAACCCCACATACAGTTGTCATCAGTTGCCTGCAGCTGTTTTGCAGTTCTTACAGATCGAACAACACCCACAAATCCAAGACCTTGGTGCAGGTGGAAACATGTTCGCCATCTGGGCAAAAAGATGCCAGGCCGAAAGCCCAAAGGTGATACGTAGAACAAAGAGGAACAAGGACCATTTGTCTAAACCATGTGGAACCGGGCGAACCGCCTGGGATCATTCCGGACGGCCAGAAAGTCTAAGCATCCTAAAGCTTTCAGCACCTGCGAGACCGGCCAGAAACAAGCCTTGCGTTATGTTCCTTTTGGTTTCCATCCGGCCAGACATGCGGAATTCCTCAGGATGGCTCCGAGATCTTTTCCCTCTTGGAGACCTTCACCCACGAGTTCGTGGCGCGGCATGGCGCCCTGATCCAAGGCGTTCGGGCGCGGGACCTGTCGGGGCGTCGGGGCCTCGTGGAGAGGAGGGACAGCGACCAACCAAAAGTACATCACCGAAGATCATTCTGCCGGAAACCGTTGTGCAGGGTGTGTTCTGTATTAATGTGTGTCTTTTCAAAAAAAAGAACACAGGTCAGGGCTAAGCCGCTAAGCTATTTGTTCCAGTGAAACAGTGATAATACATGTTCATTGAACAACAAACAATAAAACTGTTTTAATTTGTTCTTGTTTGTTGTTAGTTCCACGCGTGGTTCATGTGCTAGGTTCCTCCTGCCCTTGAGTGGAGTTTAATGGATTTGCCTGGTGAGGCCCTTCAGCGCCCTGGAATTAATTGGCCAACAATCATGGACGTGGATCGCATAGCCCCTTGAAAGACCATTGTCTTGAACTCTTGGCAGGGGCGGTTTCCTGGTTTGTTGGAAGGAATAGATCTCTCGCCCCCCCTGCTCATTTGCTCATCTCTAGGATCCAATTGTGAAGTCAGGTTTGGTTTCCAGCGAGGTTCGCTGCTCGTTCCAGCGAAGAACAGGCACTCCCGAATTGGAGACCAACTGGATGTGTAGCAGTGTAGCAAAATGGGAACTGCCCAAGAACTCTCGTGGGTTGTAAACCATTTGGAATCATGTTCCTTACCCAGGGGGTCCCTCCTTTAAAAAGACACACACACACACATGGCTGTGAGTCAACACCCAGAACCCTGTGCACCCTGGTAGATTGACCTTCCTGGGCTATTTTGTTCCTGTCCGATGGTCTCTCCCAGGGTGTCCCGGTTGAAAACAACCATCCCCAAATCATCCCAGAACATCAAGACCTGCCCCTCAAGTCTCTTCTGTGTCACGCCAGGCTGACACGAGACAAGCTGATGTTGTAGACTGTTGGTGGCATCAAGATCCCAAGAAAAACCTGAAGAGTACAACTCATGTCATGGTGAGTTGTATTTTATGTTTGCAACGTTTCTTCTCAAAAGGTTCTTTTCAGCTGCTGGTCGTCTACACTTGTTGTAAAGTAGCTTGCCAACCAACCATGGCAGCCAGCTTCGGAGGTACCGTATGGAGGTGCCACAAAAAGGCCACGGCTCCTAGAGACGAATAGACTCAGGTAACGTTCGATGTCCTCACTTCACACATCATCGAATATGTTTGTGAGGAATGCACTGCACGTCACCTGCTGCACCTGCTGCCTGATCTGGATGAGGAACTGCGTTCCAGTTCGATAGGTGCTCGAGATAGTTATTATAGTTTGGATTGTTGTGCAAATGCATACCTTTCTCTACGGTGGCACTTGTGGCACTTCCTGATCCGCGTTTGTTGACTTCTACTGCCAGGACTGTGGCTGGATGAAATTACCATCAAGGCCAGGACTTGGGACTGTCTAGCACGAAGCAAAAAAGTCGTTCGCAGGATTTGAGTGCTGGCTTTACATTGGTTTCAGAGTAGATAGCACAACCTCCAAGGTGTCCAGTTAGATGGGGGTCTATATTATTATATACTACCTTTTGGGGATTGTCCCAACTCTGAAACCAATGTAAAACACAACATGTGGCTGGATCCAAACAGGAATTGTTCCCCTGTCCGACGGTCTGAGGCTTTCCTGACTTGGAGTCACACTCACACACAGATTTGAAACCTTCCAAGCAGAGCTAGTTGTCGGATCATTCTAGTCGACCAATGTCGACCAGTGAATTGTGGGGTGAGCCGGGTGAGCATGGTCAAGCCTCCTTCTCTTTTGCTGACGAAGCTTTTCGCAAAGAATGAACCATTGTGGATCGGGAAGAGGGTGGAGAGCATATCAGTTTAAGTCACGGAATCAACACCGAACAGTGGGCTGAACGAATACTGCAGAAAGGGTCAAGTATACAAAGCAGCTAAGCCAGGATCGTTGATTCAGAGGCCTGATGAGCTCGAGCTTAAATATGCTGAACGTGATTGACTTCACCTCCATGCAGTTTCTTTTTTGCGTTCTGACAGACTTGCCAGCTATCTCCTTGATGTTGGTCACATAATTTCTACACCTCCAGTCGTACCTCCTCAGGTTCGGTATGACTGGACCCGAAGATGGCACCCACCCCAGTCCCACCGAACGTCAGAAGGTACGACTGGAGCCCTACGGAGGGTTCTTTGAGCATCCATCCTCCAACATCCGCGCGGACCAAGTCTCACATCGTCAGCACACAGGTCCGACTGGGCAGCGAGACCGCGGGCTGCCAGAGGGTCTTGCGCTTCAGCACTGCGGCGGGGGAGAAGTACATGAAGTGTTTGGGAATGTGGGCGGCTTGGCTGAGAAAAACGGCTGGTATTTTTGGATAAGAACCTGGTGTTTTTTGGACTGCCTGGTGACACCGTGACACCTAAGCACATCCAAGCAAGTGAAGAATGGCGCCATATGGTGCCATCCACTGCTTTACTGGTTCAAGGAAAAGCACCTTGAAGATCGGCAATCGGTCTCCTGGCCTGCTTCACAGGATCGCCTGGATCGCGTTGGATTTATTGAACCTCCAAACCATCCCTGTCACCGCGGATCGCTTGACAAGCTGTTGGTTTTGACTCGCACCAGGGTGTAGGGCCCAGGGTTACTCGCGCGAGTTTGTGGCCTTGACTCGCAGCGGGTCTCGGAAACTCTCGAACAAAAACATATGGGACCGGCCGGAGGCTTCGTGGGGAGTCGGATCTATGCGACCAGTTTAGACAGTCTGCGAATCGGGTGAAAGGACATGTTTGGTGGGACTGGGAATCGTGCCACGCTAAGCTACTTTCTTGAAAAGGTAATCGATCATGACAGTTCGATTTTGCTGGGAACCGGAAGAAAGAGGAAGAAAGGATACAGCTTGGGTCCTTTGTTTCAAACTCAGCCGGGAACACCCAAGTATTTCCGGCCACAGTTCTTGGAACATGTTCTCAACAGATGTGTGTCTGAGGAGAAGGTTGATCCGATCACTGGTGCACCAGTACCTTGGGCAGCGATTATCGGGTCCATCGGTGGGTGGATGTGTTTCTTGAAAAGACAGGAGGTCCCAACAACTGTGGGGTGGATCCTTTTTGTAAGTATCAGGGGATTGGTTGTTTTCTTTTGGATATGGTTCCTGTGAGTTCCGAAAGAACAAATCCTTTCAGGGCCTTGAACTCATCCGGCCGTGCCATCCTCGGTTCATCCGGTGCATCCATCGGGTGCATCAGGTCCAGCTCCACTGGGTCCAGCGGCGACTGCCATAGTTCTGCCTACAGTCCCAAACCACCCCTGGCCTCGCCTGATCGGCAGTATGGCATACGTGACCCCAGTCCCAGTCCAGACCGGACTTGTTTGGTCCCGCAAAGAGTTTTCTCGTCCGGTACACCTTCGTTGGGAGCTTCGTGCGGAGAGGATGAACGAAGCACCCTGGTGGTCCTTCCACGGACCGTCCTTCAAGGCCTTGGGGGCATTGAAAAAACGGCCGTGTCACAGGGAACCCCAATGAAAACGGCTGGAGGCTCCTGAACCAGGCTAGCAGTTCACAGCGGATTTGAGACGCAACCGCCGCTGGAGTCTACAAAGGGCTTGCCAAAGGGTTTAGCACAAGAGTCGACTCAAGATCTAGTAGATCCTACCAATGTCAGATCCTGGTCTTCTTTGTAACACCTCCGACATCTCAGAATCAATTGATCATAGTTGATCGTTGTTCTGCCATGAAGTTTGTATATCAAAGGGTCGTCTATAGTATTAGATCATATCAGGCATGTTCAACATTGTTTGCATACCTTGATCTTCCAACTATGCCGGGCAACATGTTTGCCAACTGTTCATCATTTCGAAGCCAGCCAGAGTCGGCACCACTTCAGCATAGTTGGAAGATATTTCTGGCATGAATCTCTCTTGTCTCTTCCTGTTTGACCTCCAAAACCCTTCTTCCCTGATTCAGCGGCCTCTTTCAGACGTGGCAATCCCACTTGACCCGAGGCCAAGTGGGAAGACTTGACCAGCGGCCAGGAGAACCACTGAATCGGTCCACAGAATCGGTCCGCTTGACCATCGGTCCCAGACGCGACCCATGGGACTGCCAATGGGACTGCCTAGATTGGAGTGGTGCCAGGGGACTCAATGCAGGCATATATATATATAGAGAGAGAGAGAGATGGCAGTCCCATGGATTGTTTGGGTGTGGTGTTTCTGTTGGTTTTTTCTTCGGTTGGATCGATCGCCTGGTGGTCTTCGATCAACATCAACATGAATCAGTTCCCAGAGCATGCGAGAAGTACGAATGTTGGACCAAATACCTCAACAAAAAGCAGACGTCTTAGCAAAAAGACTGAGAAGCACCTCAACACCTACCCCCCTTGGAATTCGCTTGCTTTTCGCGGCTCTCTTCTAGGAGCGCTTGCCGCATGTGGCCGATCCCAACTTGCGCAAGAGGCGCCAGGCGGCACGCCGCGCCGGGTCCACTTACGCGCCGGAGTTCTTGGGACTTCTGGAGGCCGAGCTGCTCGCTATCCGCGCGGGCGCCCGTCCGGGGAGGCCGAGCGTTTCGCGACGAGCGGCTCGGTGCGGAGTGACGAGGAGGATGGACCACCTGGCTGGATAGCAACAGACCGGACGCTATATAAGCACACGTATTCTCGAGAATTGGGGAATTGGGCCTTCATTCCTGAGGGGAGAAGTCCTGGCAGCATCTGTGTTCAAAAAAAAATAACTGTATATGTAGATCCTTCTACGTCTTCTACGACTCTGGTCTTGATGTCTTTGGGGGGTGCAGCATTTGAGATGAAAGGGTCCTTCACCAATGTGGCCCATTGCCGAATTCCCTGACTTGCTACTGTTGGTGGACATCCTGCAGCAAGAATAAGCGTGAAACATTGACATGGACTGACTCACTATGTTATTATCGATATTTAGCTGGATTGTGCATCTCAGCATCTTTGGTGATGCAGGATTCTTTTTGTCAATCAACTAATAAGAAGCACGGTCTGGTACACACAATCGATTTCGAGCTTAAGTGTGTATACTCCAGTTTGCCTATACCAGGCAATAGTCTAGTCACAGTCTAGTCCCATGGGCCAAAGTCCTGTCTCCAATGATCCTTTCTTCCTTGGACATCGACTTCTCCGGGCCTTCCAACCAAGTGACTCGGCCTTCAGGCGGCGCTACGGAAGCAATGGTCGGCCTTCGTGCGGAAGAGAGACATCTCGGTTCCCAAGGAAGTCTTGAAAAGCCCCTGTCCGGCATGCCGAATTAGGCCATCCCCTTAGGCAGGCCCTTGTGGGGGTCCTATGGCCGGGGTGGATCACTTGCCCGACCTTTTGGGGTTCTGGTTTTGCTTAAGGTTCGTGTTGTTTCCGTTTTTTTTTCCCCCTTATGGGTCAATCCCCTAGCTTGGGGAAAGCTTGAGCGTTCCCCTTGATGTTCGGTTGAAAACGGCTCAGTCCGAGGGCGAGATCTGACGTGGTCTGACTGGGTCTTCAGTCCACCAAAGGTGCAACCAAAGGTGTCAATGCCATGGAAAGGAATGGGAGGTGCCACCAAAGGTGCATGAAGTCTAGAAGTTCTTGGATTTGGGATCGGGCACCTGTTTGTTTCTCTCTCTCTCTCTCTCTCTCGATCTACGTGTCTAGATCTATACTTCGACCATACAGGGTATATATTTTTATATCATCACATCCGCCAGCAAGCACCTTGTATGTAGACTTCGTTAGGTTCTCACACCACATCAGCTCTCTTGCATCAGAATACATCACACGTCTGGTGACTCCGATCAATCCTGTGAGACGAGACGGACCCTGTCCACTCCGAACGACCGCGGAGCGATTCAGCCTCGCCCCGGCGGCTCCGGACGGTGAGGCTCCGAGCTGACGCTCAATGTGAACGGCCAGATCCAGGACCGGTGGGACACCCGGAGCCGGAGAGTGGAGGTGCGACAGAGCAGGGTGCTTGAGCTCGGCAGGTGGGAGGATAACTCTGGAGAGTTCAGGCCCTTGCGATCCAGGGAAGGATCGGAAGGTACTGTTGTGTTATGTTTTGTTGATGTTGGTTGAGAAGTGGGAACTATTTTACTTAACTAAATGTTATTGGTCAACTTGAAGAAATTCTGGGGTAGAAGTAGAGAGAGAACGGTGGTTCATGGAGTCAAGGACCATGGAGACAGTCCGGACCAGAGTTACGCACAAACAACGTACAATATCGGGTGTGGCATTTTCAAGGCCTCCTAGTCATCATCAGTCATCCATCATCAATCAGCGGAATACTGGAAGTGTCCCAAAGTTGGTAGAGACATGTAGAGACCATCCTGGAAGTGTGGTGATCAATTGCTCTACTTTCTGGATTGGGTCAAAATTCGTTTGTCAGACACTTGACTCTGATTGAGACTGTTTTGCCATTGGCTGTTTGCTGTTTGTCGCACGTCCCATGTTGCGTGGCGCGGACGCAGCTGATCAGGACACCGAAGGATCCAAATTGGCCGAGATCGGCATGTTGGCATGGCGCTTGTTGCTGAGGACGGGGTGTTTTGTTGGAGATGGTCACGAGAGAGAGAGAGAGAGAGACAGAGAGAGAGAGAGAGACAGAGAGAGAGAGAGAGAGACAGAGAGAGAGAGAGAGTCCGGTATTTGTTTGTTTTGCAAGGTAACAAACCAGTATTCAAGACCCGACTACAAAGATGCTTTTGTTGGCTTCAACAGTCTTTTTGCTGGTGCAGGACTCCCGAATTCCCTGACGGGCGTTCTGTGGTGCTGATTGCGAACGATGTCACGCACCAGGTGAGATGAGAGCAGAGAGAATGACATGGGAAGGGCACGAGCACCCAACGGGTGGCACGCGACTTTGACCCAAGGATGTTTTTTTCGGTAGTGATGCTTTCTTGGTTGAGCTAAAGGAAAGCCCTGTGTTTTGACAAACATCATAGCACAAGCCAGGATGGGTTTCACATCATTCAGTTCCCGAGAAAGGATCCTCCTTCCATCCTCCTCCCATCGCAACTCATCTCGCATCCCTTGCGCTTCGTGTTGGGCCTTTTGTTGGGCAGGCAGGCTCCTTTGGCGTGCAGGAGGACCACTTCTTCAAGAAGGCCAAGATAGCATGCTGCAGAAAACCTGCTAGGCTAACCTTCCTCGTCGTTTATTCTGTTCATTTCAGGTGGGTGGTTTCTTTTTTTTCAGCATGGTTCACTACACTGTTCCCACGGTTTTGTTGGAATGATTTGACGGAGAGGATGAGTATGGAAATGAATGGTGATGATTGGCCTGGAGCACTGTCGAGCACTGTGGCCGGTACAGTGGCCAGTACGTTGATCTATACATGTGACCCACCGCAAATACACTTTCACAGCAGATGCACGTTCCTGCAATGATGCACGTTCTTATATCATGTTATATATTTTTATTTGGGAACACTGGATCGGTGTTTGCAGCACTCATCACGCTTCACCGGACAAAAATTGATGCTCCACCTTGTCAGGCCACGGAGTACGCACGCCAGCGGGGCCTCCCACGGGTCTACATCGCTTGCAACAGCGGTGCACGGGTTGGGCTGGTGGAGGAGATCATGCCCAAGCTGCGTGCCTTCGGAGGAGATCGGGGGGGCAGCAGCATGGTCGCTGAATCCACCGGCCAATCGAAAGGTCTTTGCAACCCTGCAACTGGCAAAAGGAGTTTTGTAGGGAGGGCCATTTAATTTAGGATTTTTTCTTGTTTTGTTTAAGGATTTTTTTTGTTTTTCGTGGCTTCTGTGGCTTCTGTGGCTTTCGTGGCTTTCGTGGCTTCTGTGGCTTTCGTGGCTTCTGTGGCTTCTGTGGCTTCTGTGGCTTTCGTGGCTTCTGTGGCTTCTGTGGCTTTCGTGGCTTCTGTGGCTTTCGTGGCTTCTGTGGCTTCGTGGCTTTCGTGGCTTCTGTGGCTTTTGGCTTTGGTGGCTTTCGTGGCTTCTGTGGCTTCGTGGCTTTCGTGGCTTCTGTGGCTTCTGTGGCTTTTGTGGCTTTCGTGGCTTCTGTGGCTTTTGTGGCTTTTGGCTTTCGTGGCTTCTGTGGCTTTTGTGGCTTTTGGCTTTTGTGGCTGTTTGCTACTAGTCCATCTTTGGAGGAATGTGATGTCCGAGGCGCAGCTACCAGATGTTTTCATCCAAACGATTCCTTTATCCTTTGTTATGACACGCAAAACACAACATGTCTTTAATTAAGGTTTTCACTATGAAGGTGTCTAATGGCACATGACGACCTGCAAAAACCACAATGGTGGATGCTGACGGCCACTTCAACCTCGCCCAGCTTTCAACGTAGCTTCTTTCCGCACTATTCTCCATTTGCCGATATATCTGTCTACCTATCCATCTATTTGTCTATATCTATCTGTTTGTCTGTCTGTCTATCTATCTGTCTGTTGTGTTGTGCTTTTCCTTGTATTCACTTTGCAGAGAAGAACCCAAACAAGGAAGCAAGCAAGCAAGCAAGACAGCAAGCAAGCAAGCAAGAGCTGCTCACCTTTGGATCTGGTGTGCTGCTGGGGGGGGCGCTGCCCCCCCCCCC